AGATCTAGATCTGCAGGTGTGAGGGTGAAGATCTAGATCTGCAGGTGTGAAGGTATGAAGATCTAGATGTCCAGATGTGAGGGTGTGAAGATCTAGATCTGCAGGTGTGAAGGTGTGAAGATCTAGATCTGCAGGTGTGAAGGTGTGAAGATGTAGATCAGCAGATGTGAAGGTGTGAAGATGTAGTATAACGGCTGCTTTTTTACGAAGAACCCTTCGCAGGCGCTCTCGGGAAAAATGCTTCAAAATCGCCTTTTTTTCGCTCTGGCATCAAGATCCGGTTTTGAAGCTACAATTTCCGACGCCGTTGCGCGTAGTTCTATTGTGTTTCGCAACTCAGTCTCCGCAGATCGCATTGTAGTCGCTGCGTCAAGGTTGCTTCCTGCTTTGGCTGTATGCGTAATACTATTGTCTTTTGCAGCTGGACTTCGTAAATCGTTTTGGAGTGGCTGCATGAAGGCTGCGAAATGGATTTGTTAGCAGATTTTCTCCATTTTGGCGCTAGTGATTTTCCTTCTAAAAATCCTTTTAAAAAGTGCTTCAAAATCGTCTTTTTTTCGCTCTGGCGTCGAGATCCCGGTTTTGGAGCTACAATTTCCGACGCCGTTGCGCGTAGTTCTATTGTGTTTTGCAACTCAGTCTCCGCTGATCGCATTGTAATGGCTGCGTCAAGGTTGCTTCATGCTGTGGCTGCATGCGTAATACTATTGTCTTTTGCAGCTGGACTTCGTAAATCGTACTGGAGTGGCTGCATGAAGGCTGCGACAGTGATTTGTCAGCAGATTTTCTCCATTTTGGCGCTAGTGATTTTCCTTCTAAAAATCCTTTAAAAAAGTGCTTCAAAATCGTCTTTTTTTCGCTCTGGCGTCGAGATCCGGTTTTGGAGCTACAATTTCCGATGCCATTGCGCGTAGTTCTCTTGTGTTTTGCAACTCAGTCTCCGCAGATCGCATTGGAATGGCTGCGTCAAGGTTGCTTCTTGCTTTGGCTGCATGCGTAATGTCTTTTGCAGCTCGACTTCATAAATCGTCTTGGACTGGCTGCATGAAGGCTGCGAAATAAATTTGTTAGCAGATTTTCTCCATTTTGGCACTAGTGTTTTTTTGTTGCACGTGAAGTGTGAAGTGTGAAGTGTGAAGTTTCAGTTTGGAGTGCGAAGAGCGCAGTGTGAAGTGTGAAGTGTGAAGTGTGAGGTTTGGAGTGTGAAGGAAGCAGTGAGAAGTGAGAAGTGAAGTGTGAAGTGTGAAGTGTGGAGTGTGAAGTGTGGAGTGTGAAGTTTCAGTTTGGAGTGCGAAGAGCGCAGTGTGAAGTGTGAAGTGTGAGGTTTGGAGTGTGCAGGAAGCAGTGAGAAGTGAGAAGTGTGAAGTGTGGAGTGTGAAGTTTGAAGTTTGGAGTGCGAAGAGTGCAGTGTGAAGTGTGGAGTGTGGAGTGTGAAGACTTTGCTTCGTCTCTCGCTGAAAAAATCAAACGGTTGTCGAGGGAAGGACACGGTCGGGACAGGGTGTCTTTGAACTATAGGTCATTTATGTTTGGGAAACTTCCGCCGCCGGCTTGCCCGGGTCTATGTTATTTCATGGATTTGTGTGCAGTTATTATGCACTTTATAGGAACTTTGTATGCAGTTTGTGTGCAATTTATAATCATATGCAGTTTATATGCAGTTTTGAAAACTGCATATAAACTTCATGTAGTTTTGGGTAAACTACATGTAGTTTATATGCAGCTTTGAAAACTGCAAATAAACTGCATATAAACTACATAAAAACTGCATACAAACTACATAAAAACTGCATACAAACTACATATAGAGTTTGCATTTTTTCAGTCCTGATGAGGAAATTCATGTATACTTTGACATTTTTACACTTGCACATGTATTGAGCTCATAGTTCAAACATATAGTAATCTTGTAAAGAAATAAGATAGTTTGTCAATATGTTTAGTGATTTTTTCACTGAATTTAAATAAACCACACAAGAACTACACATAAACTAAATATAATTGAGCTAAAGTGGCTCAAGTAACTCTAGCCCAGGCTGACTTAAATCTCAAATATGCTAAGCGATCACCAGTTAAGGAAACTCAAGGAAAACTGGGTCTCAAGTAAACTAAATGATACTACATGCAAACTACATACAGGCTACATACAAACCACACAAGCTACGTGTGAATTTCATACAAACCTCAGAAAACTTTTGTGACACATTTGCAGCTGCTAGGACAACTTCGCCAGATGTCAGGTGCAAAAAATGATTATTGAAACCAAATGAAGTAGATACTATTTATTAGTTCTTTTCTTCCTGAAAAATTCAAGTTCAATTTTGGATACCTGTGGGTTTTCATCTTTGTTTCAAGTTAATCAAATTTAAAGATCAACATCAATCTAATAGATATGTTATATAATAAATAAATAAATAAATATATATATATATATCAGCAGATACTTAAAGAAATGGTATTAGATTGGTAGATTGTAATCTGTAAATTCCTGAAAATTTCAATGCAAAATAGAACGTAAATAAATGAACATGTTTGGCAACATTTTTCTGGGCAGTGAGGAAAAAATATATATATATCTTTGATATTCTACCTTATGTCAGGTAAGCGCACAAAAAAAAATATATATATACAAATACAGTCACAGTTCCCTATGTTCGGATGTATCACTCCATCATCATACCTTGGGTTTTTTTTGCTCTCATTTTTGAAAAAAATAAATTGTGGTTTACTCTGCTTTTTTTTAATGAAAGGTTTCATGGAGCAAAGTTTTCAGTAATATGTTTTTCACATTGCCATCTGATAGTTTCTCCTTTTTCACATGCAGGGTTCAAAACATTTAGAGTTATTTAGTTTTTTTAAAATCACCTTACCAAATCTAAAAATAAACCATATGTAAATAATTAAATAAAGAAATAAATAAAAAAATAAAAATAAATAAATAATATATATATATATACGTATATATATATAAATATATATATATAAAGGGAATATGGTTATATATGATTGTAATATTCTCGAAACTATGTAAAGCACGAGTAATGTACCATAAGAACAGCTCCATTTATAATTTCAAGCAGATTTTCAAAATAACTAGCGCTAAATATTAACGTTCCAACTCACACAGCGTGGATTTTCATCCAATCCATCTATAGTATGCACTCATGCATACTACCTCTAAAGCCTCAGGAGGCCCAAAAAAAATGTGAATGGTGACTTTTGCTTCAACAATCATAGTTGTGACGAAGTATCTAAACACTTCTAAATGGTTTCGATATTTTTAATGTTTTGATTTTAACCAGCTTGAACATCTAGACCTACTTTATCATATAATAAATGTAGTCATATAAATTTACAATTTGAACTATATATATATTTTTTCATTTAAGGGGATGTATCAAAAAGAAGGGTGCCCGAAACTTTAAAAATTAAGCCTAAATGCAAAAATTTTCGCCCTCCCTATTTTGTGACATGCCCTATTTTCAGACACACAAGTAAATATTTAATCAAAAAGCAGTAAATGATCCTATGTGACAAAAGTAAATACAAAAAACCTTTCACAAGTAATTAATTTAGTTTATTTTTCATTTACATGCAACCACTTTTTAATTTTTTAAGCGGAAAACAACATTCAGAATTGTAAGCTACCAATGCCTTCGGCCAAATGCTAGGTTAAAGTCAAAGGATTAAACAATACACAAGTAACAATACTATCCCACAAGTAATATTAATTAGACACAAGTAAGTCCAGAACAAGCAAGCGTGAAACTTTCACAAGGAATTTGATTCCATCCACAAGTAACCACAGCAGAAAGATATCACAAGTAAGCTCTTTTTCTGTCATATTTCGTGATTTTCGAAACTAAAACCTACACAAATCACAGCACATCCCATCAAATTTCATAAGCAACCCAATCTCTTAATGTCAAAAATTAAATTGTAAAAGAACATCTTTTAAAAAAACGAGAAAAACTACATCCCAAAAATAGGTTGCAACCTAAATTTGCACCTAAAAAATCAGGTTCATTTTTTTCGAACCTAAAGCGAAAAGTAAGCCTAAATTTTTGAAATGTAATTTTTACTAATTTCCGAGACTCAGGGTTCTTCTTGTCTTTTGGACTAGGAGATGCTGACTTGCTGGTACTGCGAGGCCTACCTTTACCTTTCCCTTTGGCATGTTGCTTCGGTTGTGGTGAGGGTATGGAGTCGCAGGGTCGGACTTTGCCTTCGGCTTTGCTTTCGGCTTCTCCTTCGCCTTTGGGTTCGCGCTGGGATGATTGCCAGGCTTTGGTACCGGCGTAGCCGGCGTGAGGGCTGTAGGTTTTCCGGTCAGACTCACGTGCATACTTGTCACGGGCTGCAGTGTGCTTGTCCTCCTTCGTCCTCGCAATGGCCCTTTCAATGACGTTTCTCAGATGCCGATACGTCTTTCGATTGTCACCTTCATCCCATGATTCGTAGTGCTTGATGTCAAACATTAATAAGTGGGAATTCCTGATCTTCTTGTGCAGGCTGTCACGCAACCAGTCATCGGGTGGCGTGTCTTCAGGCAACATGTTGTTCGTCATCTCCATCCATTTTTGGTAGAACTGGTCGATCTGGTTGGTTCCAAAAGACTGCATCTTTACCACATGCTGCATAGTAAAGAGTGTGTTCCGCACTCCCCGTGTCCTAAAGTGGTTGAGGATCATGGCAAGAATCTCCCTTCCCATCACGAACCCGGCGTTCCTCTCAGCGGCTTGGGTCCTATGTCAACACTGCATTGCCACATCCCTAGCGGCCTCTCCAGCTTGAGTGATCACACTGGATACTGGACAGCGCTATAGACAGCTTGGTGTCAATCTATTGGAACCGTGCTCCGCCGCTATCGTTCAATGCATCCAGGTCTGGTCTGGGTTCTGTTGCAGGAAGTATCCGCTCTTGCCACGCCGCCCTATCACCATCGTTGGCAGCAAGGTCTTGGAGCATCAATGCCCGAAAAGTTTGATTGCGATGCTGCATCATCCTGTACAGATCCTCTCAATTCGCAAGAAGGTCGGCCACTGTAGGCGCTGATGTTCCTGGAGTCGCACTCCCAGCGGGTGCCGCTCTGTCTGGCTGAGCAGGTGCAGCTCCGGCGGTACCGGTGGGCGCACTGCTTTCGCTTCGACCCCCACTTCTCCGCAAAAGCACGGCCACTTCTTCCACCTCTTGGTTGCACGCATCATCCACTTGGCGATAGTAAGATCTCGTAACCGAATGCCTGTCACTTTCTGTCTCAAGTTCAGACCGCAACTGCATGATCCTATTTTCACTACTTTCATGATGATTGATTCCAGCAGAGAAAGAAAGGTTATTGGGGTTGTTCTTTTGCTGTTGTTCTATTTCACATTCCATCATTGATAGCTTAGCCTTCAGCATGGAAATTTCCCCATCCTTTCCTCTGACAGCTTCACATTTGTCGTTTTGGTCCTTGTTTGCCTGCCAGATCTTCTTGTCCTTCTCGTTCAATGCCACGAGGTTCGATTTCTTTTCGGCCTGTAGCTCCGACTTGTACTTATCGAGGTTCATATCCGACTGCAAAGGTGCAATCTTCGCAGTCATCTCGTTCACCTCGTCCTTGAGTCGGAAGTTCTCCTTGGCATACTCGTTGGCTTCTTCCACCAGATCACCTTCTGGATCTCCCTGATCTTGTTCTCATCCTCCAATGTGACTCTATCATCGGGTGCCTGGCGTTACTGCCGGCGGCAGGGATCGCCCCGGCACTCGGCCTATTGGGATCTTTGTTGATATACTCTTACAGCTTATTCCAGTAGTCGTTGCTGGTAGCGGCCTCGACCTTCAGCATGGCTTCAAGTCGTGGTATTGGACCCTTCAGGTCAGATGTTTCCTGGGCCCCCAGCATAAAATCCGCAAGTGCCTGAGTCTCGCTTTCCTTGGCCTTTTCACAGTTCAATTCTGCTTCATTCAGGAGGGTGCGAGCTTTGTGATCACTTTCTAACCGTTATCTAACCTTTGTTGATTGGCCTCACTCACCGAATGCTACGCTGTGCAAGTCCCAGTGAATGACGGGATGCTTCTACCTCACTTTGTGATTCCCTCAGTTCCATGGCAGTAGATTGACTCACTAGTTGCAAATCAACATTCGATGATGTCAATTTCAGACTGTTTTCTGAAGTTCATGATTGAAAGTTCCATGTTCTTCTGCATTTCCCTACCTTCTGGTTCTTTCTGCGCTCCAGCTCTTGGATGCGCATGGTGGAACCTTCGTCGTCTTGGGCAGCGACCATGAGTTCAGCTTGATATTCCCTTACCTCTGTAGCTGATTGACTTAGCATTCCATTTAGTGTGCTAAACTCACTGTTGACGTTCTCGTGGTATCCTCTTAGTCTTAGGTAGTCAGTGAACTTTACTTCAATGTCATTGATGATCTGATTCCTCGGTGCTAGCACTTCTTCAAGTTGCTCGACTCGTTCTTCCAACAAGCTGTTTGTCATGAGTTCGACTTCACTCCCACCTTGAGATTCCCATACTTCGTCATGTGCAGCTTTTATGTCCATTTCATGATCAGGTCCTTCTGTTTTCCGTTTCCCTGGAATGTCCCTAGTCCTGGCAGATCGGTCCTGGATTGCCTTAGGGGCCCCTGATCGTGTAGTAGTCCTTCTGGGCGTTCGATGTCCTCGTTGGGACGGTCACCAGTCCCAGGTGATGATTGATTGCCACCATCAGCGACTGCGACAGTGTTGTTGCCAAACGTGTAGTTGGTGTCCGCGCTGCTGCGGCGCATCTTTCTCAATGAAGTTGACTGGATTCAGTTTCAAGAGTCGTTCTTCTCCTTGGGGGCTGTTATGCAGCACGTACGCCACTGGCCTCCGGAGGAGGTGGCAAAGGCAATACGGCTGATAACCTGCGAACAAATAGACCTCTGTTCCGGGTGTGCTGTGTAACCTTCTGTTTCCACTTGGCGCCGTGCTAGTCAATGAACAAGCCCTTGCTCAACGGCATGCAACAACGGAAGCTGCGAACTCTCTTTTGTCTATCGATTGGCGGACTTGAGCCATTGTGCGTCAGCATGTCATCTACACTCAGACTCATGCAAACCTGACTGTCGCCGGCATCCCTTTCGCACAAAGCTTTCCGGCTTGATCATGCATGGTGCTAGCCATAATATCTGAACTGAGCGACCTTCGTCTGGGAATCCGGATTCAGCAGATGGAATGAGTTCGGTAGACGGCTCAGCAACAATGGGGCGTTGATCTTCATCCCCACAGTAGCCCGACTGTCCCGCACATTGCAATCTATATTCAGTAACACGGAGATCAAAGCAACGTCCTGGCGGAACGACTTGGAACGATTGAGATTTTGGAGGAATTGATGCTGGGAGACATGAATATAATATACATGAACAAGATGTGGCCAAAGGCATCGGTCAAAAGCTGACAGATTTCACGCATCCAAGCTCAAATTGATGACGATCAAGGCAAATACTTCGAGACCCGAAATCATGAAACCAATCTTTCAACATCTTTCAACCCCAAATGGATCTTGATTTTCTTGATGTTCTTCGGCTGATCTCCTCAGTGCCAAGTTGATGAGAAATCCAGCTGCCAGCCACCACACTCAAGGTGCCACCAAACATGCCACCCGGGTTGGGCAGCATCTGGTAATCGACCACCAGTTGACCCAGGGACATCGGGGGAATGTCCACCTCACACTGGGGGACAACATCTGACACCGTACTTAACGTACTTGGTGTTGCTGTGACATAGCATGAAACCACAACAAAGCGACGACATGTCTCTGTGAAACAAAGGCATCAAAAAACACACCATATTGGCTTTTCCGGGATATCCCATGATATTCTTTTCGGAAAAGTCCACTCATTGGCCTTTCCAAAATCAACGAATTTATCGGATTTCTCTCACAACAGAGTACTCTGTATGTGCTCTGTTAATGACCTCTTACGAACCTTGTGTGCCAGGTTGGCCCGCAGAAGTTCGGAGCCATCAAGGACCGCACTGGCGGTTAAGCTATGCATCACAAATCTGTCATCCGTGGGGTTACACAGGGTGGCATTCAGCTGCTCTTGGCGAGACGTGGTGAACGTTGTCAAGTCAAACTTCACGGTCTCGGCTAAGATGTCTTGCCTGACGAACAATCGAAACATACAAAGGGCCACAAAAGACTTGGAATCTCAAACATAAGCAGAAAAACCAAGGAAATATATGGAAATATCTTAGGTATTTCTTAGGTTAACACAGCCAGTTGCAGAATGTTCCTGACAAAGTCCTTCAAATAGTAGTCCCTCACATCTATGATGGTTACGCTCACCGAATCCAAAACCTCGAAGGCTAGAATCAGCGATCCACCCCCTGCCAACAGAAGCGTGACCAGCAAGATGAACACGGTACACCCACGAAACTGCATTCTTTTCAGTCGATTTGTGCAAGATCGACATCTCTTGGAGCACCGGTGGATGATCAGCATCAGCAAAGGTGTTGAAAGTGCCAACCCCACGAAGAGTGCCACCAAACGTGTTGCGAGCCACGACATGAGGTCTTTCACCAGTAACTTGCCATCTTCCTGGAACTCCGACGATATTGGGCCCACCCAAATAGTATAGGGATGAGAAGGATGAGAAGGGCACTACCCCAAACTACAGCATGGCAACAGGGAAAACCTCATGACTCATGACACTCCAATCAAAGGCAAAATTCTTTAATGGTATTCTTGAACTCATTTTTCAAGATTGGAAGTTGGCCATGCTCAAAGGTGGTTTTGGTGGTGGTGGTGAAGGTGATGGTGGTGGCCGTGATCGACGTCCAGGTGGTGGTCTCCGTAAGCGTCGAATACGTCGAATACGTCGTCAGCGTCTGCGTCGAATACGTCGTGACCGACGTCGTCAGCGGCGGCGCTGTCGTCAGCTCCGGCGCCGCAGTCAACTCCGTCGTGGTCGTCGTGGTGGTCGTCGTGGTGGTCGTCGTAGTCGTCGTTGTGGGAGGGTTCAACAAGGCCTCAGAGCAAAAGCGAACGGCTGTTGACTACATCACCATACTTCGCCACAATATGTTTCCAATATGTTTCCAATACATTGCACATGCCATGAGTTGCATCCAACGGCTGTTGAAGGTTGGCTTCTCCGATGAGGGGTTTGGTATGTTGTCTCCCCACCCTCTCATGGATGCTCGGACTGATAGATAGATACATGGTCCTAGCATATGTTGTTTGATGAATTTGAAATAATTCTGTTTTCAAATTTTGTTTTTCCCTATTTTTAATGCTCAAATTGCTCATCATTCCCCAGGGGCTCGGCCCAGTGGCATCACAAATTTCGGTCTTCGAGGCCAGCTGTCGACTCCCAGATCCGCAGCTCAAGCAGCTGGCTGCCAAAAGCAGCCGCCACATGGCAAAATGCGCCATCCATTCAGCAACCAAACCAGTCGTTTTCCTCTGTGGGGGACTGTCTCTGTTGGAATTATTCAGAATATATGCTATAGAACATGAACGAACATACGCTTGAGAATCAAGCAATACGAATTTCCATCGGAGTTGGTGCAAGGTGTCAAGCTTGGCACATGCCGATGAACTATGATAACATATTAAATTACCAGTAGTACCGCGCAAGGAGGTGGCGGAAGTTTCAGAAATAGGAAACCTATAGGAGAGGTTGGTTGTTGTGAATCACGGATGGCAGAGCGAATCCACTGATGGACTGAAAGGTGGTTGGAGTTGTGTTTTTTGGAGTGGTTGCAATCGTTGCAGTGGTCACCTCACCCACAACTCCTGGATGTAGTGTGGTGTAGCGCAGTAGTAGTAGTGGTGGTGGTGGTGGTGGTGGTAGTAGTAGTAGTGGTGGTGGTGGTGGTGGTAGTAGTAGTAGTAGTGGTAGTGGTAGTGGTAGTGGTAGTAGTGGTAGTAGTGGTAGTAGTGGTAGTAGTGGTAGTAGTGGTAGTAGTGGTAGTGGTGGTAGTGGTGGTGGTAGTGCTGGTAGTGGTGGTAGTGGTGGTAGTGGTGGTAGTAGTAGTAGTAGTAGTAGTAGTAGTAGTAGTAGTAGTAGTAGTAGTAGTAGTAGGTAGCCAGTAGTCAGTAGCCAGTAGTTAGTAGTTAGTAGTAAGTAGTAAGTAGAAAGTAGTAAGTAGTAAGTAGTAAGTAGAAAGTAGAAAGTAGAAAGTAGCAAGTAGGAAGTAGAAAGTAGGAAGTAGGAAGTAGGAAGTAGTAAGTAGTAAGTAGTACGTAGTAAGTAATAAGTAGTAAGTAGTAAGTAGTAAGTAGTAGGTGGTGGTGGTGGTGGTGGTGGTTGTGGTAGTAGTAGCAGTAGTAGTAGTAGTTGTTGTTGTTGTTGTTGTTGTTGTGTAGCTGTAACGTAGTTGAAATTGTAATTGTTTTAACTGTAGTAATTGTAGTAGTTGCAATAGTTGGAGGGGTTGGAGTTGTAGTTGAAGCTGTAACTGTAGTTGTAGCGCAGTGTCGTGGTAATTGTAGTAGTAGTAGTGTAGTTGAAGTTGTAGTTGAAGTGTAGTTGTAGTGTAGCTGAAGTTGTAGTTGTAGTTGCAGCTGTAGCTGCAGTTGCAGTTGTAGCTGCAGTTGTAGTTGTAGCTGCAGTTGTAGTAGTTGTTGCAGTTGTAGTTGTAGTTGCAGTTGTAGTTGTAGTGGCACTTGTAATTGCAGTTGTAGTTGTAGTAATTGAAGTTGAGGTTGTAGTTGTAGTTGAAGTGTAGTTGAAGTTGTAGTTGTGGTTGTAGCTGTAGTTCTTGTAGTTGAAGGGTAGTTGAAAATGTAGCTGTAGTGGTAGTGTAGCCGTAGTTGTAGTTGTAGTGTGGTTTATTGCAGATGCAGTTGTCTATCCATCCGTCTATCTAGGCATTTTTTAATCTACTAATTTGTCTTTCGTTGATCTATCTATCTATCTATCTGTCTGTCTATCTATCTATCTATCTATCTGCAAGTTTGAAAACGAAGCTATTCTGCGAGACTTCCTCCATTTTTCAAGTTGACCACATCAAAAACGAAACAATTCTGCGAGACTTCCTTCAAAAATGGAAAGTTGAGTGCAGAGCTGACAGCCTCGTACCATTGCGTTCTGCGATTTTTCCACTCCACCTGTCTAAAGTACTGCGCCTGCCACGAAAAAGTGATGCCAGGTCTCATATGAAGTGCTGCACCTGTCACGCAAAATCATCTTCCCAAAACTGAAGATCTGATGCTCCAAAATGCAACCTCCTAACATCTCTGATGAACATGTCTCTTGTACTGCGCCTGCCACGGAATATGTATCTTTGCAGATCCTCTTCAAATGCCCCACGCCTGCCATTGTTTTTGGAAATGCTACCAAACCCTCACGTTTTACTCACTTATTACAAGGTGCATAATCCCTTGCGCCTGCCGCGCAAAACAACATCTGAACGTCCAGTAGTGGCGCGAACATGTGGTGTTTTGTACATTTTGACTTCGAAATGTGCTTCGCGCCACAACAGCGTGCACTTGTTCGACATCGCAACTTCCAAAAGTGGTCCGATGTTGGTGTGTTTTGCGCGTTTTGACTTGGAAATGTGCTTCGCGCCACAGCGGCGTGCAGCTTTTCATCTCTCATCTGGCCAGATGGCTCCGCACCCGCCGCTTTAGCGAGCCTACTTTTCGACCCTCCGGAGCCACAAATCATCGGCAAAATACAGTGTTTCGCGACTTTCCTACCTTTTCGCGCGCCTGGATCTTCTTTCTTCTGAGACTCTTTTTTGATCTTCTTTCTTCTTCTCTTCTCTGATTCTTCCCATCTCTGCTTTTCATCTGTCCATATTGTTGGAAGCTTGACTTCTAAACTTCCTTCGATAACTATCTTTATTATCCTTCTTTGTGCCTAGGCAACCCCCCTGTTCTTGACCCAAAGATGCGGACGAGCATGATGCCACTCACACCGGCCACCAAAAATGGGGAGAGATGTCCCAATCATCCTGTGGCTCTAAAACTACTTCGCAACAGTAACTCACCACAAAAGTTGAACAAAAATCATCACTGATCTGCCAAAAATCTTCAAACATCTTTTCAACGGCGATGGCGGCTTCGGGGCTTCGGCAAAGCGCGGGCGCAGTGTTTTTTCAGGAGTGCCACTGGGGCACGGTGGATTTACGGAACGGTTGTCATGTCAAGTCATGTCATTGTTCTGGGGTTTAAAAGCGAGGAATCACATCAACAAAATAACATCTGGAAATGATTTGCAAAGTACTTGAACATGCCATACGATGAAGTTCAACTTTGGAATGTATGTCAATGAAGGACATTTCACCACAGTAGCAACGCACTCATTGATCTCATTGATCATAAGTTTTGCTCTTCAGTGGAAAATAACTAGCTATTTGTCATCCATTCGTACCACATGTACCACATGTTTGAGCTTAGTAGCTTCATTCATGTTGCATTAACTTCCCACCAAGCTACCCGATGGGGCAACTGCTCCGCCGGGGTCCCAAGTGGCTGGCATCGCGTCGCATCGCGTCGCATATGGTACTGGGTGAAACGGCTGGGGGGAGACAGCGAGACACCCGGGGGAATCCCAGGGAGATTGTTCAGGGTATACCCAAAGTAGGAGCCTGGATCGCTTCAAGAGTGTCAAAATAGGACAACTAAGAAACATATAGAAACATGGGTTGATGTTTATTGGATCCATCGTTGACTTTCAGTGCAACTTGATATACTTGATCGTTGGACTTTCTGGCCCCATTGCAGTGGTTCAAACATGTTACCAGTCCGACGTTCCAATAGCTCTGTTGGACCAGGTGACCAGGTCTAAGGTTCTTCTGAAGGATAGACCTGATTCTCTGGATTTTGAGGATTCGGATCCGTGGAGATCTTGAGATTTCTGGAGATTTCTGGAGATCCAAAGAGCCAAATCAGTCGCTGCTGTCTCCGCGCGACCCGTGGTCTGCTCACCTCAGGGGATTGCAACCGAAGCCACGGAAATCACTGAAACGAGAAACTGAATTTAAACTAGTGAAATATAGTGAAATGAGAACCATTTCTGAAATAAATGTGTGAAAATGTGTGAAAGAAGTGGAACAAATGTGTGAAATGTCCTCGGAGAAATATGCGAATGAAACAAAAATGAAAAATGATCGGTGATTTTCTTGAAATGTTATCGACATGTGTGACATTGAAATCATTCAATGCTCATTTAATGATCATTCAATGATCATTCACACATTGTTCTGGCAAACCTGAAAACGTCAAAACCATTCAACCCCCCTTCCCTTTTTGGGTAAGCTTTATTTTCTATACCGGCAAGATTTGCACATAGATCGATCATGATCGATCAATGGGATTTTGTTTCTCTCAACGGTGTCGCAACATTGGTGCGACATTGGTCTATCTGTGCGTCCAGGACACTGATCGCTCAAACCCAGCCTGAGACAGCCAGCAACTATTCCAAGGATTCCACAGTGACTCCCAGTGACCAAACTTCGCGGCAGTGGACTCAGTGCTTCTGTTGAAACTTCATCGCCATTCCATGAAATGCCATGAAAGTGGGAACAAACAATTTTCCTGAGACAAGTGCAAAGAAAAGACTTCGGCTTCCTTGTCTTCTCGCCAAAGTAGGTAGTAATCTCAGTTTGTCACAGCTCCAGCACAGCTCCACGGCTCAACTTCCATGCGTTCCATGCGTTCCATAATTCCTAGGCGATGTCTGCAGGCCAAGTCCCAGGCTTTGTTTGGAACCGGAGAACACCACGCAGTACCCTTCGGGAACCACCTCAGTAATATAGTGACATGCTGTAACCCGTGTTGCCAGATGTTGCCAGATGTTGCCAGACGTTGCCAGATGCAAGCCACAACTTGCCATGCTTTGCCATGCTGAGGTGGAGGCAATAAGGCCATCGTTCAAGTTGTTGACGGCGGCACTCACGGAGTTGTACCTCAAATGACATTGAAAAGAGAAAGCATGTGTGAATGACTGTTGCATCTTTCAAAGGGAATCTGACAAAGAAAACATCGTGAGCAACTGGCCAACCCTTATGCGCAAATGCGCCTACAAACTTACAATGCTTTCTGTTTGTAGGTAACAATAGATGCATCCCGAATAACTGCATGGCCATCCATTTGAGTGGCTCAGTTGCTGAGCTCCCAACACATGTCGATCCAACAGCTGCACCTTTCCATCAAAGATCCCTTCGTTGCCTTCTGGGCCGATGGTGTACCTGGAGTCATGGCAAGATGGGGCCGGTGGAACCAGCCCGTGTGGTGGAATTGATACGTGGGATTGTTTGGCGAAGAAATGTGCGCTTAAAAAACCACAATGTTCTGAAAAATGACGTAGTAATTAAATTTTACATCTTGAGCCTTTGTGACCTTTCACATCCTAACATTCTCGCAGAGACATTGTTGTTGCTGTGGGTTTGGTGCTGCACCAACCATCCGCCATCTCATCTATATCAAAATCACTCAAACACATCAAATCATGAAATAATATCAACATATGAGCATATTATCTATAACTAAAGTGACCACCTCGACATCACCACAGCGTTCCATTTTCTGATTTGTGTGGTTTGCTTTTTCTGATTTTTCTGATTTTTCTGATTTCAGTTATTTTCAGTTCGTACTTTTGTAGTTCTTTGGTCACGTGAAGTCCACGGACCACCTGCCCGGCGGCTTCTCGGGCTCCGGTGGCGGCCCCGGCGCCGGCGGCGGCGCGTCCGCGACCACCGGAGGCTCCCAACTGGACTCGCCCGTGGCGACGTTGGCGTAGAAGGTGCGGCCCGTCTCGGGGTCCTCCAAACATCTCCAAACATCCGAGATCATCTGAGAAAGAAAAATGAAGAAAATTATCGTAAAATGGAAAAGAAAGCAGAACGCACATAACAAAACAAGTGGAGAAGATTCAGATATTGTCACATATGCCATTAGTAATAGTTTGACATACATGTCAAAAAACATCTCACAAAGAACTGAGGTGATAGTTATGGTATTTGATTATCCGGTGAGAAGGGGGGTAGATTATGTCCACAACATTTTTTTGGCGAATTACATCCGAACATCCCGCCAGAAAAGGGGCGTGAACATTCACGGCATGATTTGAAGTGATAAGTTGGGATCACTATGTACTGACGGGAGCAAACCTCTACCCCAGACATGGGGATGATGTTCAAAAAAAGGGGTGCTGTATGTGGGAAGTTTGATACAATCACAAGCATGAATATCTAAATGTTAAACTGAATAAAATGATCTGATATATATATATATAAATATTTGCACTATATATATAGCCTTATTTATACATCTGGCATGAGTTTCCAAGCTGATGATGCTGAAATGATGCTCAAAAAGATACCTGAAGCACACCCACACAAACATTATTGATCACCTTTCTTATATACACAGATATAGATAAGACTGCAAAATAAATTGACCGACAGGAATGCCATAACATGACTTGGTGCAAGGACCGCATAACACTGTGGAGGTTGTATGATGCGACTGAGAAATGAACAAACATCTGAGATGAGATGATGCCAGAGACAAAGATACCACATTAAAACTGATATAGGGACGAACATCTTGTCAAGTAAGATAACACAAGGGATAAAAATCAACGTCTGAGATGAGGCAAGGAATGAAATTCAACATCTGCAGAGATTTAATGAGAAATCCTATCCTTTCGTCCTGTTGTCCAAGATACGTTGACACAAAATTGAAGTGTAAGAGCAAATGTGACTCTTCCCAAGCCAACCCCATGGAAGAAAGACCGCTCGATTTCAGAACAGATTAGGGGCAAATTCGTTCGTTCACGCCCTAAGTAGAACCAGTTGCCAGCCAAAGTCTGCATCCATCACAATTCAGAACGCATGTCTTCATTTACATGGTTCAAAGCTTGCATCTTCAACCTACCAAGTTGATGCATCCAATTTAAGTCGCGGTGTGTGATTTTCCGGCAATATTGCGCAACATCGTTTTTCCCATGGTTTTTCCTGCAGCTGCGCGGTGGCGTGATTTGACATGGTCGTCCTGGTGGGCTGTCCAGCCATCTGGCAGGTCAGATGGAGGTGGTGCCGGTGGTTCCCAGCTGGTTTCACCAGTCCTTAGTCTCGAAGCACTGGTGACCCGGATGACGCTTTGATGCCACCGGAGGACAGCGCTTTTCGGAACAGCTCCAGAGGGTAGGAGGGAAGTTCAGCCATGTTCAACTGACAGTTTCTGAGTGCTGAACTCAGGGTTTGCATAATAGGTACGACCTTGGACCGTCTACGAGTCTACGATGGAACAATAAAAAGAACGGGATACTACAGGACGGGGCCCGTAAGTTAACTTGAAGTTACGCAGTTATAAAGCAAGTTACAAAACTTATGTTGAAATTATTGCAACTTATGTTAGGGCACGTTATAACTTAAGTTATAAGTTTTGTATCTGTTTAGTGTGTCATTTTTTCGATTTGAAGGTGAATCGCGAAAATTAAACGGTAAACATGGATGTCCAGTCTGAATTGCCCTTGAGGCCCGTCGAACAAAGTTTTTTTGGTCACGGCAAGACCATGATGGTTCGATTGGCACTGTCGCAGCTCCTTTGAGACACTGAAAACCAAGGGAAAGACCGTAAATCAGAAAACACAAGAAAACACATTCCTCATACATACGCGTTTCCTACATACGCTGGATGTTGTCTCAACGACACAAGAGCGCTTTCACGAAAAAGTATGCTTTTACCCTGGATAGACATCCACGTTTTCAGTTTCCATCGAAAACACATCTCACATTTCTCAAAAGTTATGTGTCAAGTGAAAATGCATTCCTCCACCTTACGCGTTTCCATGCACTATTGCATGTTCACTATCTATACACATACGCGTTTGTGGTTTTCCCGCGGTTTTAGTGAAAATACCTATGCGTTTCCCAGTTTGTTTGGGGTATTTCCAGGAAACTTTCCCCTGTCGCACACGTCTGTTTGTTCGCACATCGAAGTCACAGCAATCTGTCCAGCAAATTCTCAACATCCCTCAATGGCAGCCATTATTCAAGGCCCAAAGCCGCGCTATTTTCACAAGAAGAAAACCTGAGCCAAAAACAGGCTTCGCAACCACCGTTTCCATTGCAACATCAAAAAATGACTTTCAAAACGTAACTTCTGTAATTTCCTGCTATCTTGCCAAAGCTAAAATGGCAACATAAGTTCCAAGTACCCAACTTAGGTATAACATGGTGTAACATGATCATGAGTTGCAGGAGATATACTATAAGATACAAAAAGTTAACTAGGGTTAAGTCAACTTACAACATCGCATGCAGCGTTTATGACCAACTTATATATATCTTGGGGGCCCCATCCTGTATACAATCGCATGATTTCAGGGAAAACATTGGACACAAATTCAGGTTCCAAAAAGTGAAAATACATGGAGAAACAAAGGCATCGAAGCAACAAACACATATAAAACATATAAAGCATGTACACCACATATAAAGAACATATAAAAACATATAAAACATGTACACCACATAAAAAAGCATATAAAAATATAAAAAACATGTAAAAAACCAATATAAAACAACACATGTACACCTGATTACACCTGATTACATCTGATGGACTCTGCATGGACTCCGCATGGGCCGGGCTGTGTATGCTGTGTCCTGTCGCTCCTCTTGGCTTCCAACCTTCATCATCTTGATAAGCACCCCAACCGGGTGGCAACACCCCGGCCATCTCCTCATGGAGAAGAGTAAATTGGTGCCCAAATGTCGATTTCGGGGAAAATGGAAAATGGACAAACTCCAAAGTTTTTAAGACCAGAAACCTGTCACCAAAAACACATATTCCAAACGTTGTCCGAAGAAACCATTCCAAAACTCTGATGCAGCTACTTCTATAACTACTTCTTCTAGCTACATCGTCTTACATCATGTTCCGACATCTTGCTGCTACATCCTTCTACCGTTCCAATGTTCCGACGTCGGAACATACCATTTTTTGCTACCGCGGGCACCTCAAACTTTGGGCGCCGCCCCACGATGCTGCTGTGCACGAGCCAACAGCTGCCCACAGAGCGATAGATAAAACGAACAGGAAACCGTAAGAAAACAACGAAAACTAATGAAAACGATGTGTGAAAAACAAAACATGTCAAAACCAAAACAAAACCGTACGTATGTAACTGTATGTAACTGTATGTAACTGTGTATCTATGATTGAGATCATTATCCAAACTGGGAGTGAACCAGTCTTGTCTTCCAAAAAAAACTCAAACCAATCTTGTCAGCGGCCTTTTGTCTTTACAAACGGATTTACAAACTGTGACGCGTTGACGTCCGGAACGGCTGGTGCGCAGGACTAGTTGAATGCTGGTCTGTGCCGGTCCGTGCCGGTCTGTGCGCCCTGGACCTTTTGCCCGACGCTTTGAGACGGGATCGTTTCATCTGATGACGTCGTGTGACAGAATACTTCGAAAAAATCAAAGAACGATCTGAAAAAGATAATCTTCAGAGATTGCAGTAACAAAAGATTTGAAGGGAACATCCTCCTATGATATACAACTAGAAAAGACGTCAGAGGTTTGTTCCGACAATACTCAGCCACACAAATATGGCAAGAGGCAAGTGGCACCCCAAAAAAGATTTTATCAATCCTATCCAATTTCACAATCTCATTTACCTAAACATGTTTTTGTGGATCCAAGAAACACGTCCTGTTGCATGATGATACTTGGCGTCGCAGCTGCGCCGTTGTCGCTTTGGACCTGACCCCCAACTGCGCTGCTGCCATTCGCTCACCTCACAGGTGCAAGACGGTGCAAGACGGTGCAAGACTCTATAAAACCTGGGGAAAGGTTCGAACATGTTCAAGCAAGGGAAATGATGGAAACGGTGATTTGGATCTAGGATCTGAGGCTGTGCAAGTCCATCGTCGGCGACGCGACGTGCACTACACCTTACATGATGAAGTATGACAGCATGATATACAAGAAAATGAAACGCCACACAAAACACAGAAACATGCATGAAACCACATGAAAGCGAATAATCCTCCAGGATATCATCCCAATCCATATCTTATCATATCTTTGACCCACATATGATCTACACATAGGACATGGGATGACATAGGGCATCACAATGGGGCTTATCATCGTACCATTCGTACCACTGTCACCAAGCTGTAATGGGTCCCAACGTAGCAGCACTCGCCTTAATTTGCCTCCAGCAGCCGTGGCCGCAATGGCAGCGGTTCCGAACACCTGAAATGTTGGAGTCGGTACCTTGGAGGGTACAAAGAAACGATAGAAACTTCACCAAAAACAATGATAATTTGGCAAATATAACTTGTCATGTCGGCTGGTCCAAAGGAAAAGCAGCAGTTTACCAGCCAAATATGGTGTTCTCCGACATATTGCCCCTTCAGTCTATGGGGAAATATCCGACAATATCCCGAGAAAATGCCCCCTCCGTGAACCTCCAACCTCAAGCAAAACCGTGCAGAGTTTCGACACACACTGTGGGATATGTAGATTCGATCGTAGTGAGGAGAAGTGAAAGAACACCGCCAGTTCCTGAATAAAGGGCCTGAAACGGATCATAGGACATGAGGCATGAATTAAGAAATATGAAAAATGGATTCCGGTTCTCAGCTTAGCCGGATGCTATATCGAAGTTACTTGGTTTCCGGTTCTCAGCTTAGCCGGTTGCTATCGTCTGACGCAGGTACGCTGGGTTGATCAGACCCAGTATCCCATGATTGTGGTAGCTTCGTTGAGTGCGGTCCCACAATCATGCCGCACTCCCCTGCCAAATCAATATTTAGACTGCATGTTATTAGCAGTGTACACACACATGGCCTCTCAATATGAGAGGCAAATCAGTAAGAAGCGCAGCAAAACTCTTATCGACACCACTGCATCAAAGATTGTACGGGTTGGTCCTTCCAAAGACTACGAAGAAAACGATGGATTAAACATATATTCGCATCAGTGAAAAATTCAGGAATTCGTTGATACATAAGGCCCAGAAAATCCTGAACCTGGTCCAACTGAATTTTGGCTGGAAGAACATGAAAACGAATGAGGCGCAGACGAGCACAAAGTCCACTCAGGATGGCACGAGAAGTACCAGCACTTCGCATAGATCGTAAAGGTTTGTTCCAAGGTAATTCCAAAGTGATAGTCTGTTGCAACGTATCAAGGTGGAAACCTAATGCCTCCTGTCCAGCAACCACTTCCAACAAAATGGGAGCAGAATAAAATTGTAAATTCCAGAAAGCCTGAATATGTGATAGCTTTCGACTATGGCGAGAAATCAACAAAACACGATTGTCAACGTATCGATGATGTAGAGAACGATCTCAAGTAAATGGAGAAAATGACATTGCGAAGTTCCATTCTCGTTGATGTGCAACTGCAGAACATAGAACGGGTGCAAACTGGGATCCCATACTGGCACCCCGACGTTGTCGAAATACTTGGCTCCCGACCGTGAAATACGAATGTTCCAACAAATATTGCACCAAGCTAGGAATATCACGCAAAGTAATAGTTATATATTGTTTCGTCTTTTCTCTCCAAGATCCTTGACAAACACGAAGAATCCGTTCCAAACGAACAACATGTGATTGCATAACAGTATGTAATCCTTGTTCACACTGAGAAGCAAAGGTGAATATAGCGAACTGTATGGCCAACAAAATACGATCATGTTCAACTTGATTGTAAAAGCCAGCGATATCTGTTTGACGCAAGGAAAAGGCAGTTTCTGCAAAATCCTCTATAGAAAATAATGCACTGATACCAGTAATGACATCTTGAACATGTGCAAATTCCAAAATAGATCCAAAAACCGCATTGAGGATGGCAATCAAAATAGTGGATAAAGCACTTCCCAATTTCCGAGACCAGGCGGTAGAATAATCAACAATAGGACGAGCCTTGGCGAATCCTCGAGATGGTTTGGGTAAAATGTACCCCTTACTCAATGTAGAGCGTTTGAAATCAATCCCCCAGGAATACTGAGAGCGTAGCAGATCAGGAAGTTGTTGTTCAAGGTTGCGAAGAACTTATCCCGCAGGTTGAGAGCAACGTTCGAAAATTGCTGCATCTAAGAAAGTCTTTTGTAATAATTCATGCCATTGACAAGGACAATGTACTGTAAGAGAGTGAGGAAAATGATCTGATGGAGAAATGATCCAATGACGAAGCAAATTCAAATCACGTCTGACTGCTTGCAAAGTCCAAACAGAGGCAGAGTCATGATCCTGATGAAATCGTTCCCATTCTTGAGTTAAGAAATATTGCCAATATTGATTCAATCCTGAAGGTAATCGCCATTGATGAAGAAAACGTTCAAAAGCTTGAGTATTGTGGGACAAGAAGTTTGCTTTGGTTGGTAGCAGTTCATCTTCCATATGTGCAGCAAAAAGAGGACAATCAGCAATATGAGCAGCAAAACATGAAATATGCGTAGTGGAACGCGATTGGCATTGCACATGCAATGGAAAGTGAGCACAAGTACAAACAGGTTTCCAACCTGGATTTCCACCAACGTAGAGAATTTCGAAAATTGAAACATACACGACCCAAAGTCGTGCCTTTGACTGCCACGATAGGAGCACGAACTTTGTGAAAAGGAGGAAATTGGATTTGATGATGGAATGTAAAACCCAACAACCATCGACGAAATTGCTGCTGCATAATATCATCCAAGATAATCAGTCGCATAGGTGTATTTGGTGGTGGCGGTTGAGTGCCACGAAACTGTAATATCAATCGATGTTGTGATTTGGCTCGACTTCGGAAAGGTTCATTCATAGTGCGACACAAACGCCATAAAAGGAAACAAAATTCAATGTCGGTTTGCACTGACCGAAGAACTCGTGAGCAGTCAAATTTCTGTCTAGAGTCAGAACCCAAATGGTACAAAAATGTGAAAATCTGCACATGGTTGTGTAATCGTTGAGATAAAAATCTTACCTGTGTCTTTTGTGGACGATGACGATATCGACGTAATAGTGTCTGTCCAGCAGTTCGATGAGGTTCAGGCTGTAACAAACCATAATGTTGACGTCCAATGTTCCATGTCTTTAATAATGAATTGATCCAAGGCCAATTGAGCTGAGGTTGGCACGTTTGCTGTAGTGAGGCTTCCATCATAAGAAGTTCAGTCGAAAGACAACTGTGTATCGGAAAAATACAAAAAGCATAGAAATTGTTCAGTCTATGCCACAACTTCAAGGCAGGTTCATAGTAGCCAAGATGACCAGATACCAGTTGTCTAAACTTTCGCACTCTAGACTCTAGACTGTTCTCGAAAGAATACGGTCTTCTCAGTGCTGCCAATGTAGAAAATACCCTTGTCATAATGAAGACGCATATAAGCTACATTTTCTTGATTCCACCAATCCCATGAAAATTCAGAAGGCAGATGCACGGTCTGAAAAATGGCCATCAAACGGCGAAAACGCTGTGTATATGAATTCAAAGTAATTCTACACACTGTCCACTGTGCCAGTATCCATAACAGAGTCTTCTGAAGAGACCAGGACATGGACAGATGTTGTAATAAAATCGTGATCAACTGACATCCGTAAAGTAACAGTCGTCTACTGAAAACTCTACGAGAACGATGTACGTTGGTCCTGACACTTGCACAAATTCGTGACAGCTGCCTGCTACCATCAACAGGACCTACACTGTCAGACCTCGGTAGACTTCAGTTCTTGACAAATTGTACTGCCGCTAAAAGGCGGAATTGCGCATCCATGTTGGCTTTGGAGAGGAGCGTACTGGTCAATCCCCAATCCGTAAGAATAGGGTCCAAACTCGGACGTTCCCCAGCTGTGAGACTTTGATATTCTTCTTTGATCTTGGTTGTCAAAGTTTCCACTTCAGATTGCTGATCTTTGGGAATAAACCGTTTGATCCATTGTGTGATTTTGCTCTTGGTATGATCTCCCGGTGGGTTTGTTCCATAGTATGGAGGTTTATCACTGGGACGGCGATATTCTGAGAGTGGAGGAGCCGGAAGTTCGGGCGCAGGAAGTCTTGGGATGGGGGTGGCTTTCATCGTAGCAATCTGAGACGAACTTGAACCCTCGGTTTTGGAGGCTGGTGCTGGTTTGCCAAACATTGCTGGAAGGGATCCACTCTTGGCTGGGCAAACAGATCCTGGAGGAATATTTTTGTCGGATGGGATTGCTTCAACTTGTTCACCTTTGAGTCTGGCATTCTCTGCACGTAAGGCTTCCATCTGTTTGAGAAGATCTGTTTGTTGATCAACAGGCATAAGAGTTTGCAGATGATCAAGAATATGTGTGGATAATTTCTGAACAGCCGCACACTTCTGATCCCATTCATGCACATCAGTGCCTTCAGGAACAAATTGGGAAACTAGCTTGTTCAAATCAAATGTATCCTTTCGATGATAGATCTCCTTCATCAAGGTTGAAGCCATCAAGGCATCCAAACGAGTGCGAAAAAGTTCAAAGGTGACGTATCTACCGTTGGCCAAAAGTCGCATACCATAATTGGCAATACCATTGGGAATGACATCAATGACTCGAACTGATGATAGGTCTTGTCCCATCAAGCCAACCTTGCGACTCCATTGAGTAGACTCAATATGACGAGGAAGACTGAGACCATACAGGACTGATGTATCATAATGAGACGAAGTACCCTGCCACTGGGATGGAAGATCAAAAGGTTTTGAACTCACTGGGGCTGCGGTACGTGGTTCTGATCGTCGATGAGCCCTGGGGGACCGAGACCGTTGATATCTGTCAGAGCGTCCATCACGTCGACGACTGTGGTCCCGACGGTATCTATGGCCCGAACGAGAACGAGAATCCCGAGGCATACTCAAATTGCAAATTGCAATTCAATTGAACCAGAAAAAGGTTCTACGTATATCACAAAGTCACATCTGGAATGAACAGAAGAAAACTTAGGCAAAGTAGTAGTACGAAAAGAAGCAAAGCAAAACTTGTGCAAACTCAGAAGGAAACACTAATCTATAGATTTCAATACCAACCATGCAAAAAGGACGACGCAGCACAGACATCTTTTTTATCATAGCATGAATTGTTACATCTGGCAAGAATCTACGAAATGAAAGTAGCCACTCCATGAATGGTCGAAAGGTGAGATCGAAATGCCCAACGAGAATCTGATCCATGCACAACATCAAAGAAATAGCCCAACAATTGATCTGCATAAACTCCACCCTGTGAGGTCCGAACGTGTGCTTGACGTGCAAAAGCACGACCAACAATACAAATAGGCCGAGCAGTATTGAGGCCGCCAAATTTCTTGGCTTGCTCCAAAATTTTCAGCACATGTTTCCTAGAAAAGGAAGAATCATCATTGAACAGTGCTCCCCGAGAGTAGAAGGTATTGGGAGTCAGCCAGTCTGGGCTCCGTACATCGCATGATGATGGTCGAACGACCCCTTCTCGCACAGCTGAGGCCATTCCCAATACTGATGTATTATGGCCAAATCCAAAGTACTGAAAAATGTCAAAATTGTCCGCACGCCACTGCGGGAGTGCCAAGTGCGCATAGATCGCAATAGGCTGTTGCTGGGAGTTGAAAATGATCTCAAATTTCTCAACCAATGAAACATTGTTGCTGTAACGTCCCAAAGCAGTAACCAGAAAGCGGAGAGATGTCAAAACAGAATCACGCAAAACAGGGTTACATAGTTGTGCAGAAAATCGATGCTTCAAGTCAGTCGAAATGTAATCATGCCAAAATTGAGTGTGATTCACTGCATCTTCATGAGTAATGTAACCACGGGAGGGGTTAAAATGGTCAGCATTAGGTATCCATTGTTGACGTCTCGTATCTTCGATCAGCATTCCGTCTTCAAAGGAATTCTTCACGCGAAATGGATTATCAGCAATTGATTTGTGAATACGAAGCATCTGTTGATAAAGAAAAAGAATGTCGATAGTCTTGAACAAATCGTTTGCACCCACTAATAATTCAGATGAAAATGTCGCCACAGGAAGAGCGACCCAAAATTGAAATCCTTGTGTCTTCAATTGAGGGTGGACCATTTCTTTGACTTCATGACTGGCCTGAAAAGGATCATCAGTCTGAGTCCGTCCAATGGTAAAACAGACAATCTCATTGCGGACTGGAGATACCACTCGCTCACTAACTGAAGACCAAATTCGTTCAGGAGTATTACTTGTTCCAGATTGCTTCACATGATGGTAAGACCATAGCGCGGAATCTGAATTGAGCTTGTAGCACTTTGTAGCTCATGAAGAGGATCTGGTTGGAAATCAAGACGACGACGTTTGGGTTCCGGACCACTTGGAGTAAGCACTGAAGGTCCCGGACCAGCTGGTAGAACAGCAGACTGCACCAAAGGTCCCGGACTACTTCCAGGTAGACCATCGCACAAGGTCCCCGACGATCCCAATGCTGATTGGACAAATGTGAGCGGCTGAGTAAACAAATTTCCCACACCAGGCACTAAAGAAGACATGGAAGACATGAATGCATTGCATTGAAAAGCCAATGGTAACATCATTTGTTGCATAGAATGCAACTGTTGAGTCTGAATTTGTTGCATCTCAATGATCTGTCTTTGCATCGTTGCCATTCGTTCCAATGAACGAGCATGCTGTTGTTGGGTACGCAACATTGAAGACATAGAAGACTCAGTCATACGCAAATTGTTCAACTGCTGCGAAACACTGTTGGGGATCGCTCCCGGAGGAACAGGCAAATTCGGGGGAGGTCCCGATGATTTCGCAAAAGTTCGAAGATCCATGGCTCGAAACTACGGCTCTAAGGTTAAATGTAGAATTAGATCATACCATAATAGCACACAAAACTGAGGATATGACCACATGTACCGGAAGAAGTGCGCATTCAAAGTACTTCGTCATACGACAACTTCTCCCTTGTGGGTACTTCGCCAATTGGGCAAAACTTCGCCTTATAGCTGTCAATATGTGTTGGACGAACTTCAATGTCCACCTTGACATCGTCTACTTCGTTTGCATGTAATATGCAAAGGGAACTTCAGGATGTTGGCAACATCCCAATCTGCAGCCGGGAAAATGCCTGGTCATATCTTTCATATCCGTCGAAACGGACAGACGGTACTACCAAGTGAGGTAAAGTACCCGAAACACACTGTGGGATATGTAGATTCGATCGTAGTGAGGAGAAGTGAAAGAACACCACCAGTTCCTGAATAAAGGGCCTGAAACGGATCATAGGACATGAGGCATGAATTATGAAATATGAAAAATGGATTCCGGTTCTCAGCTTAGCCGGACGCTATATCGAAGTTACTTAGTTTCCGGTTCTCAGCTTAGCCGGTTGCTATCGTCTGACGCAGGTACGCTGGGTTGATCAGACCCAGTATCCCATGATTGTGGTAGCTTCGTTGAGTGCGGTCCCACAATCATGCTGCACTCCCCTGCCAAATCAATATTTAGACTGCATGTTATTAGCAGATATTAGCAGTGTACACACACACACACCACACTCTTCCTTGGAATGCTCCAAACCCTGGGATGAATCCTTTCGTCAAAACAAACCAAAACAAGCCAGCAGGTCCAGTGCATAATCTTCGTTGCTGGAAAGTATCCTGTGGTCAGCTGAAATGAGCAACGGCTGTCCCAAACACTCGACAGCAACAAAGATTTTCAACGTATGAGAACAATATAAACAAATATGTTCGATCATTTTAAACATTATATATAATTATATATATATATATTTCACGTTCATATTCATATTCTGAAAAAAGGATAAAAAAGGATCATCGTTGATGTGGAGCCTTAGGTAAATCTGTACCTTCCTCACAGTCACCGTGACTGCAGCGTCGGCCTTGATATGTGCCGATGGATGTCACCGCAGGCAGGAACAGCACCAATACCTCGGTCATGTTTTACCCTGTTTTACCCCAGCCTGAAGCAGAGGTATCATGAGGTTTCATGATTGGCTGAAAATGAAACAGCCAATCAGGACATACCAGGACACCCCCATCAATCAGATCAATCAGAGGTACGGATCAATCAGAGTGTGCCTGAAATATATTCCATTATATTCCCATATCTGTGCAACCGTCCACCAACAAGTGGATTTTCATGGATATTTCGCCAACTGGGCAACCGCACCGCTGTCATGTTGTCGCCTCCCAGTCCAGCCGTAGTCGACAGGTCTGGGGACAAGCAATGGTCCAACCTGAGCGCTCCCTGCTGAAACGCTGAAGGGTGGGAATGGTCAAAATACATAGAAACTATCTGAAGACACTTCTGCTTCCTTATGAAGGCTTTGGTGGTCAGAACCAGGCTGAACAAATGATTTTCATTAGCAAAATTACTATTGTCCTTGAACGTCAAGATTTTCATCGGAACTTGAACCTTCGCGTTGGACTTATTTCAGCTTTTGCCACCTAAACTGACCTAAACAAAAACCCTGCGAAATCGCACATGAAGAACAGGGACCCTTGAAGAGACCATCCCCATTTATTCTTAATTTTCTTTAAGACTTGCGGGCTCATTTCCATGATTTCCCATGACCTTCCAACTTATTTTCACCACATTTCCCCACATTTCATCGCATCTTTTCAGGTAGTGTTTTCCCATCATGTCGGCAAATCTCCCATCACATGGTTGCCATATGTTGCCATATGTTGCCATGACTTCCCGCAGCTTTTTCACCACATCTCACATTCTTCTCACATTCTTCTCAATTTTTTTTCACCTTTTTGGTTCCTTAAAAAATTGGAGTTTTCAGCAGTTTTCACCAGTCACCCAGTGACATCTGCGACAGGATCTCCGAGGCTTTGAGTTTTCCGCCCGCGATGCGCCAGGCCCAGCTGCTGCTGTCGCCCAGCTGGTGCCGCACGAAGTCCACAGCGGCCTGGGACGACAGGACGTCCCAAACGCCGTCGCAGCAGAGCAGCAGAAACTCGTCTTTGCAGCTCCTGGACAAAAAACATATGTGGAACACATGTACTAAACTTAGATATAAGAAATGATATACAAATTATATAGATTACATCAATTTAAGTATATGATTCCGGTCTGTAATTCTGAATACAAATCTTTGAGTGTAAAGGAACATGATATGCAATATTGAGAGGCAACTATTTCCCAGGCCTTCAAGGGGCAACTTTAACTTCGACAACCAGAAATACTAAGTTTAACCATGGTGGGTCCCCCTATCTCCCCTGGCATCACTTGTTACGCCGGAATATACTGCCGGACGACTCACGCGCAGCAGTGTATTGGGTGGAAGAGCTGACATAGATGGTCAAATCCCTGAACCTAGATGGATCCTAGATGGTGCCCCCACATGTTCGCGTGAAGTGCCCATGAAGTTTCGTGAAATATTTGAAATACCCATGAAATACTAAGTTTACCCGTGAAATGCTAGGTTTACTCCGGCGCTCTGCCTGAGCTGGCGCCCAATAAACTCTTTTTTTTGTCGTTCTTTGATCCCAAAACTGTGACCGATCCTGCACAGCAATTCCCTAGGAGACACAGTTGCGGACTAAAAACAAGATTAAACTTAGTATTTCATTGGTAAACTTAGGACCTAGGATTTAATCCAGATGCTAAGTGTTAATATAGTGTTTGTTTAAATGCTAAGTTAAACTTCAGACTTTTGGAGATGGCAGTTAGCAAATAGCATGCAAATAGCTATCATGGAAGACTGCCACCTGCCATGGCGCGTGAGAACTACTCCCCACCGCTCAGTTTCCTTGCCACCGAGCGAACTTCTGGAACAGCGGTCACCTTAAAGGACTGGAGATTTCCGCGGCTGAAATCCAGCGCAAAAAAATAAACTGCTTATATACAGTTGTAAATACAGTTGTAAATACAGTTGTAAAGACAGTTGTAAACAGCTTATCAGGTTTGCAACAGACTCCGTTCCAGATGTGTTGCAACTCTGTTGTTCCTTACTCTGGTCAAGGTAGGGCAGGGAATCCTAGACAAAAGACTTAGGTTCGACGTTTTGAATTTTCCTAATCTCGCCGGATCACGATGTGATGCTCCGGCGGCAGTTTCTCATCCTTGTACTCCAAATCTCCCAAGGCGCGGGAGAGGCTCAGATCTCCATTCACCTTGCGACTAAGGCGACTACGGCGACTGGCATCGACTGGCCCACGGAAACCCAAATGAGGTAAAACAATAGTATAAACAATATTAAACAATGATCGACAATGGTAAACATAAATGCAATGGTTGGAACTCTTGTTTTCCGGTTTCCTAGCCAAACTGGGTTGAACGTGGAGGATTGGTATCCTTTCAGCGAAATCTAGCATTAAGCTGGCATGTCAAGTTTCTGGCGAATGTTTCGGATGTCTCAGATTGTCTCAGCATCCACAAAGACCGCGTTTGTGTGTTTCATGACCCGATGGCATCTCTGAGCTGCAGACTCTGGGCACCGAGCCGTTTTGGACCCAGCCACCTAGAGATTTCACGGCGTGGATTCTGAAAGATTCCTGTCATTATTTCAATTGTATAAAATTATAATACCTTAATAGTGTGATCTTTGTGACAACATGTCTTGCAGCAAGTAACCTGGCTAACTTCAAATTCAGTATCTACGAAATCTACCAGTAGTACCGCGCAAGGCGGTTTCAAAAATAGGAAACCTATAGGAGAGGTTGGTTGTTTTGAATCACGAACGGCAGAGCGAACCCACTGATGGACCGAAAGGTGGTTGGAGTTGTGTTTTTTGAAGTGGCTGCAATGGTTGCAGTGGTCACCTCACCCACAACTGCTTGATGTAGTGTGGTGTAGCGCAGTTACAGTTATAGTTATAGTGTAGAGTAGTGGATTTGTAGTTGTAGTGTAGTGTCGTTAGTGTGTGTGCAGTTGTAGTTGCAGTTGCAGTTGTAGTTGTGGTGTGGCGTAATGTAATGTAGTGTAGTGTAGTGTAGTGTCTGTAGTGTTGTGTGCTGTAGTGTAGTATAGTGTGGTATCGTCTAGTGTAGTGTAGTGTCAAGTAGCGTGGTTGTAGTTGTGGCTGCCGAGTTGTAGTTGTAGTGTAGTGTAATTAGTGTAGTGTAGTGTGGTGTAGTTGTAGCTGTAGTTGTAGTTGTAGTAGTTGTTGTAGTTGTAGTTGTAGTTGTAGTGTTGTGTAATGTACTGTAGTTGTAGTGTAGTTGTAGTGTGATTAGTGTAGTGCAGTGTAGCGTAATGAAGTGTACTTGTAGTTGAAGTTGCAGCTGTGTTTGTAGTAGTTGTTGTAGTTGTTGTGTGGTGAAATTAGTGTTGTGTAGTGTAGTCTACTGTGCGTTGCGTACTGTAGTGTAGTATAGTGTAGTGTAGTCTAGTGTAGTGTAGTGTAGTGTAGTGTAAAGTAGTTTAGTTGTAGTTGCAGCTGTCGTTGTAGTTGTAGTGTAGTGTAATTAGCGTAGTGTAGTGTGGTGTAGTTGTAGTTGTAGTTGCGCTTGTAGTTGTAGTGTTGTGTTGTGTAGTTGTAGTTGTAGCTGTAGCTGTAGTGTACTGTAGTGTAGTGTAATTAGTGTAGTGTAGTGTAGTGTAATGTAGTGTAATTGTAGTTGTAGTTGGAGGTGTAAGTTTATTTTTCAGTAGCAGTGGCAGCAGCAGCAGCAGCAGCAGCAGCAGCAGGAGGAGGAGGAGGAGGAGTAGTAGTAGTAGTAGTAGTAGTAGTGGTAGTAGTAGTAGTAGATGTAGATGTAGATGTAGATGAAGATGATGTAGATGATGTAGATTTAGATGTAGCTGTAGTAGTTGCAATTGTAGCTGCAATTGTAGTTGCAGCTGTCTATCTATCTATCTGTCTTTCTGAAAGCTTGAAAACGAAGCTATTCTGCGAGATTTCCTCAATGTTTCAACTTGGCAACGACAAAAAAAGCAATCCTGCGAGACTCCCTCAATTTTCGAAGTTGGCAAGACCAAAAACAAAGCTATTTTGCGAGACTTCCTCAGTTTTTCAAATTGACAACGTCAAAAACCAAGCAATTCTGCGAGACTTCTTGCAAAAAATAGAACATTGAGTGCAGAGCTGACGGCCTCGTGCCAATGCGTTTTGCGATTTTTCCACTCCATCTGTGTAAAGTGCTGCGCCTGCCACGCAAAAGTGATGCCAGATCATACGAAGTGCTGCACCTGTCACGCAAAATCATCTTAGCAAACCTGAAGATCTGATGCTCCAATATGCAACCCCTCTCAGGATATCAGTGCCCTGACCTCCTAACATCTCTGGTGAACATGTCTATCGTACTGCGCCTGCCACGGGAAATGCATCTTTCCAGATCCTCTTCAAATGTCCCACGCCTGCCATCGCTTCTGGAACTGCTACAAAACCACCACGTTTTGCTCATTTTTGGCAAGGTGCAGAATCCCTTGCGCATGCCAGGCAAAACCACATCTGAACCTTCAATTCTTGTCCGAACATGTGGTGCTTTTAACATTCTGACTTCGAAATGTGTTTCGCGCCACAACGGCGTGCACTTTTTCGACATGTCAATTTCCAAAAGATGTCCGAGAATGCTGTGCTTTGTACATTTTGACTTTGACTTGGAAATGTGCTTCGCGCCACAGCGGCGTGCAACTTTTCATCTCTCATCTGGCCAGATGGCTCCGCACCCACCGCTTTAGCGAGCCTACTTTTCGACCCTCCGGAGCCACAAATTATGAGAAAAACACTGTGTATCGCGACTTTCCTACCTTTTCGCGCACCTGGATCTTCTTTCTTCTGACTTTCTCTTCTTTGATCTTCTTTCTTCTTCTGTTCTCTTCTCTTCTCTGACTCTTCCCATCTCTGCCTTTCATCTGTCCGTATTGTCGGAAGTTTGATTTTGAAACTTCCTTCGATCATGTGTGTTGTCTTTTTCCAAACCATGCTGGCAACAGCTTTGTTCACCGATCAAAAAGCACATGATAGCACATGTTTCCAAATCTCGTCTTGGAATCACCCATCACTATCCATACCGATCATCACACCTATACCATCTCATTCATCGATTCAAACAGCACCTGCTTCTTCAATCCGAGCGCGTTCTTCCGGAACGTGCGGTTTGTGATCCTTGTCCCGGCTGCGGAGTGCCGCAGCCCAGCTGCCCATGGGAATTGAACCGCTGCCGAATGAAACATGGTGAACATTTAGATCGAATATATCGACCACTTGGGTTCACACCCAATATTCTGATGTTGTATCATGTGAACTTCCATATCTTTCACTAAACCCCAAATTTCCAAGCAACTACGTGGCACAAATCCATGATAATCATTGGTATCTCCAGTCCTATGGTCCTATGGTAACAAGGAGGGTGGATATGGTCACATGGGTTTCTGCCGTCCTGTGACAGCTCGATGGCCCGGCCGGCGCGGCACAGCACGGCGCGGGAGTCGCCGCAGTTGGCCACCACCAAGGTGGACGCCGTGACGCAGCAAACCACCTGGGGCGACGTACCAGGTGGTGTCAACGTGCTCCGAAAGTCTTCGGAAGTCTTCGAACAGGTTTTCCATATGTTTCCATGTTTGTTTCAACATGTTTTCAACGAATTTTGACGGAACATTTTGGGAAATGCATGACCACTGGATTTTTATACATGGTCAACTGGTATGTTACGGTATGTTGTTGAGGTTTAATATCATATTGTTTGATATGATGCAGTATGATTCAGTATGATTCAGTATCCCACATAGTCATCATCCTCACTGTGTCACACTTTGTGGCCTGATTGCAAACTCGCTGGTATTGCTAGCAGCTGCTAGCTATTGCTAGCAGTGACACTTCACTTGGGCTGGCACCGCCGTCGTTCCCATGCCCTCCGCAGATTGCCGTTTGATCCTGGAACTCCGCGACGGAGCGGCGCTCAGCAATGGAATGATTTCGAGTCACCCCGCAGTATTCGCATGCAACGTGATACATCAGGAATAACATGTATCACCTGGATTGTGATGTCGGGATGCTATGGGATGTCGATAGATACGGGCAGAGGGCCCATTCTTCGAACCTTTAGACCCGCACATCTTGATGAAAAACATGTCTCTATCATGAAAACCTCCATCTGTACACATTAAAATGCCTCCGCGTTGACTTTGCCAGCGACGAAAGCCTGACAATGGGCGCAGGGTTCCACATGAAAGAGGTGTTCATAGCTAACATCAAGGCAACCTGGAAGCTCGCTTTCAATGACCATGTCTAGATCCTTGATACCATCATCTTTAATCTTGAATGATTTCCCATTTTTCACCTTTCATTTCTTTAAAACCTTTTTGTTGAATTGTCATCTTCCAGTTCACCGTTGGTTTAGATTTTCCGTCATCCAACATCAGAAAATTGTCAAACTCCGATTCGCCTCTTCAGCTCTTTGAGACCCGAAGGCTCTTTCAGGAGCTGATCCATCTCGACAAACTCAGTTGAGAAAATCTGTCTTTTTCCATCCAAATAGAGATTCACCGGGAAAAACCACATCTTGCATCTTCAAATGAAAAGTTTGTCTAAAACCCAAACGTGGCAATTCCAATCCGTTTCAAGATCCTGTACTGTATTTACTTGAAGTGTTGCGTTTGTTTGGGGGGCTCCATTTGTGTGGATTTCCATAATCAAAAACGGCGGAAAACTCACTGGGGAACCCCTACAGCTTCCGACATCGCCGTGCCGATGTTAGTACTGGACCTGGTTGCTCCAAAGATGTGCTGATTTGAAAGATTGTATATAGATGAATGTTGAGTACATCTTTGGATTGGATGTAGTTGGGCTCCAAATATGGCACCTCCAATTTTGGATCCAACCATCCCAATCGATATGTTAGACGCACAAAAGAACACAAAGTTATGCATAGATCTAAAGCAACATAAAGCAACATAAAGCAACATAAAGCAACATAAAGCAACTATAACTTTCGGAAATATTTGGAAATCAGAAATCAGAAATCTTCCTGAACCGTTCTCCTCTGAGCGCACCTCGATGCGATCGCCTGTGGCAGGTGACCTGTGCATCTTGCAGATGCAGAGGGTACTGCGCAGCGCGAAGCAGGTGCCCCATGTTTTCCCTTGTTTTCCCCATTGGTTGGAACCAACGGAACCAACGGAACCAACGGAACCCGTTGAATTAACACAAACCAACGTATTGACCTATTGGGAAATAATATGTTCAATTGGGACATTATGGGACATTATATGTGATAAAATCATGTCAGATGTGAGGATTAAATTTGACTTTTCAAATTATGCAGAAAACAATGGGTTGTTCGTTGGTAATCCTGGCAATTGGGAGCTCCCAAAGTGATCTTTGACTGCATCGCTGCCCACCACATCGAGACCCCTGAGAAAGCTACGCTCGCAGAATTTGGCCACCTGGACCATGTGCAGCAGCATTTGATCTCAAACACGGACAAAATGCATTAACAAAGCAAGCCAACATGGAAACATACTAGCAGCTAAGTGGATAAACATGAATGTGGTCATGTGGTAAACAAAACATATACATGGCTCAAGGTGGCTCAAGATATTATTTCAAGTTTAGAGAAACCTTGAATAGTTCAAGTAGCCTCCTGTGTGTGCCGTTGAGAGGCCCCCCTTTGCCTGGCTGCTCTACCTCAGGCGGTGCAGGGGTTTCCCCTCCCGCAGAATCAGGTCGGGGGGGGCCTCTCGCCCACTCCGGATGGCGCCTTCGCCGGGTACACCGGTCGGCGGGGAACGGGCGCCCCGTTCACCTCGGCGTGCTGCGGCTGGCGCTGACGATGGGGCAGCGGCCAGGATGGAGGTCGATGGGGGTGCACATGTTGCTGGCCGTGTCTTTTGTCCGGTGGCTGGCTGTCCTTGTGCGGACCCTCTCCGCGCTCGCGGCTGGGCTTCTGCCACGACCATGCACGCCCACATCGACGCCCATCTGGCTGGCAGCTTGCAAGGGGATGTCCCTGCTGCCTGGCTCCAGGCACATAGTCGCCAGCGGTGTTCGGTGTGTGGCCTCAGCGTGTCTACCCGCCATGCCATTCACCCTACCTGTAGGCCACAGGCCCGCGCAGCAGCCGGTGCTCCACGTGGAGTGCCCCGGGCGGGCTCAACTTCATTGCCCTCCGTCTCTGAGATCCAAGCTGGTCGCACGCCCACCCTTCGCCATATCCCGCCAGCGGCAAGGTCCCTGTGGTGCAAGGTTCTCACCAAAGCTTTGGCGGCCGTGGTGCACTACAATGACCTTAGCAGCTGGCAAGATCTTTTGGCCCTGCCCCAGTGTGTGCTGAATGCGCCTCCCCGCGGCGGGCGGAAACATGCAAAGGCGGCTGCGGCCTACACCTTGGACCGTCTGCGGCGGTGGGAAGATGGAGAACGGCTCCTGTTGTGGGAAAGCCGCGGTCGGCCTTCTACTCGCCACCGTACCCTCACTGCTGCGGAGCGACGTGACCTTGCTACCAGTCTTGCCCGTGAGGGGTTCGAGGGCAAAGCCTGTGGAGCCTTACTTGCAGAAGGCCTTGCTCCTGAGAACCCGGGCACAGTAGCTGCTCTCCAAGCCTTGCACCCAGTCCAGCCTGACCCTGTGGCGCCCCCTGTGCATGAGCTACCGCCCAGCCCTGAACTGGTTCCCGACGCTGTGGCTAAAGCGTTGCGAAGCTTCCCGGCCGCCACGGCCCCTGGACCTTCAGGACTCCGAGTCCAGCACCTTCGAGAGGCGTGCTGGCCTGGTGGCCGTGACAGCCTCCTGGAACAGCTTGCTGGCGTTGTCACCTTGTTGGCTTCGGGGAGCGCCCACAGCGCTGCTGCCCCCCTTGTTGCCGGGGCCAACTTGGTGGCCATCCCTAAGCCGCAAGGTGGTGTCCGCCCTATCGCCATTGGCGAGGTGCTGCGGCGGCTGACAGGGAAATGCCTCATGGAGCTTGTGCGCGATGATGCCCGCTCTGTGTTCTTCCCCGTTCAGCTTGGGGTGGCTGTGCCTTCGGGCTCTGAAGTGGCAGTACACTGTGTTCGAGATTGGCAGCGTCGCCATGCCGGTTCTGCGGACAAGGTTCTGGTTAAGCTGGACTTTGCCAATGCCTTTAACACCGTGTCTAGGCAAGAGGTGCTCAGCGCTGCCTGCGCCCATTTCCCCACCCTGGCTAGGTGGGTGAACTGGTGCTATGGTGGGCCCTCCACCTTGCAGTTTGGCAGTTCGGCGTTGCAATCCGCCGCTGGTGTTCAACAAGGTGATCCCCTGGGTCCGCTGCTGTTCTCCGCGGCCTTGCACCCCCTGGCGGCTGAACTCCGTGCTGGCCCCCTTGACATTGCCATGTTCTACTTGGACGATGGCGTCGTCGCTGGGGATGTCGCTGCCGTTGGGGCGGCTTTGAAGCACATCGAGCGGCGGGCTGCTGGTATCGGCCTACGCCTCAACCTGTCCAAGTGCGAGGTGGTTGTGCCTGGTCCGGCCACCGCTGCCGACCTATCGGCGGCTTTGCCGTCGCCTGTGCTCTGGGGCGAGTGTGGTGGCGAGCGGGTGCTCCACAACTTTGAGTTCCTTGGTGCGGCCATTGGTGCCGACGACTTCGTGGCAGCGCACACAGAACAGCGGGTCAGCAAGGCCGCCGCTCTTCTGGACGCAATTGCTGAGTTGGAAGACCCGCAGGTGGCCTTACGCCTCCTACGGGCTTGCGCTGGTCACACCAGGCTGCTTCACAGCATGAGATGCAACCCCCCGCAGCCTCAACAAGCTGCCTTGGAGCACTTTGACGATCTGGTTCGCACGTGCTTCAGCAGCTTCACCGGGTTGCACATTGGAACAAACCCAGTGGCTGCAGGCAACCCGGGGGCTGTCGCAAGCGGGTCTGGGTCTCCGCTCCACGTCTCTGGACGCGGCTGCGGCCTACCTGGCCTCGGTTGGCGGCAGTGCAGCCCGGTGCTCCGCGGTGGATGCGCACATCGGGGTGGCCTCTGCATCCCCCCTGGTCCTGGCCGCCTTGGGAGCTTACAACCAGTCCATCCCTGTCCCCATGACCGTGGACGCTGTCTTAGCGCAGCGCCAGAAAACTTTGGTTGGGCAGATGGACCTGGCAGCATGGAACCTGCAGCTTGACCGGGCTTCTCCCACACAAAAGGCTTTGCTGCTGTCCGAAGCTCAGCCGGGTGGTCGCGCCTTCCTTGCTGCCATCCCAGTGGGCCGCAAGCGTATGGAGCCAGCCGTGTTCATTGCTGAATTGCGGCACCGACTTGGTGTTCCCGACGCTGCTGCCGACGGATGGTGCCCTCGGTGTGATGGGGTGCTTGATTCCTTGTCTCTGCATGCTGGTGTTTGCATCGCAGGGAGTGAGAGAACCCAGCGGCACCATGCCCTCCGTGACTTGGTCTGCGCCTGGGCCGACCGAGCTGGCCTCCACCCGGAAAAGGAGCGCCCGGGCCTCCTCCTCCCACAGCAACCAGAAGACACGGGGGTGGGTCGCCGGCGACCTGCAGACATCTTTGTCCCCACTTTCTCTGGCAAGCCTACTGCGTTTGATTTGGCCGTGACTGGCTTTCAGCGGCAGGCAAGCTTAGGGGAAGCCGGCAGACAAGGTGGTGCTGCAGCGACAGCCTATTCGGCCGTGAAGATGTCCCACCTGGACACAGCATCCCTCTGCCAGCAGCAAGGGCTCTCCTTCATACCGCTGGTGGCCGAAACCACCGGTACATGGGCGCCTGCTGCTGCCCAGGTGTTGAAAGGCATCGTGCGGGCTGCGGCGGCGCGGGAACAGGGCGATCCGGCGGCCTTCTTCGCTGAGTTCCTTCAAGAGGCTTCCGTTTTGGTGCGACGCTTTCGCGGAAGGGCTGCCTTGCAGCGTCGAGCCGATGCTGCTCTGGCGGAAGCCCCTTCCAGTGCGGCGACCGCAGCTGCTTTGGTCTTGGCATCTTGACTTCTGGCCACCTTGTGCTGAGCTGAGTGGGGGCTGTGCTTGTACAGGGGTTGAAGCTGATTTTCCTGCACCTGTTTTTTCTTGGCTTTTCTCTACTCGAAGCTTAAGGCGCTAAGGCTTTGTTTTTTTTGAGATTAGCCATCCTTTATTTTGCATGTTTCGGATGGCTTTCGTCCTCCACGGCTGACGCGGCCTATCCTTTTTTGCTGGGGGGCATGGATTCGTCGGCATACGTCCGTCCTCCCTTGTTTCGGCGCAGGGTTTTTTCCCTTCCAAGAAGGTTTTTCCCTGTGACGGTGGTTTTGTTGGCTATTCCTCTTTTCCGTTGGTGCAGTCCGCCTCCAAATTGGAAGCCTGGGCTACGCACCTGGGGAAGATATACAGCCACGCACTTTCTTTGGTTGCTGAGCCACCTTAAAGTGGTACGGAATATTATTCCATAGATATTATTTGCAGAAGTACAGACTTCGGGTTAGTGAAAAAAAAACATCTTCTATATATTAAATCTTCAAGTCTAAGTATTCACCATATCATACTATATCCATCCTTTTCTGATGCTACACTCATCACAGGTCTACATCAGAAACAGCTACGCAGCTACACGAAACAACGCGACGGCGAAACGGCACCGGCACACGGTGAAACGGCGACGAAACGACGAAACGGCACAGGGCACACACGGGGCACACGGCACGCCTGAAATCCACCGTGTCCGTCGAAGACCCCAAACAGCCCCACGTTGGACCAGCCGCTGTCGACGGACGTCCCGGTTTCCCTGGGAAACGGCAGTCTTTGTGGCCCGGCCTAACGGGCCTGTCCCCGGTGCTGATTTAAACTGGAAGATGGGGGATGTAAATGGGTGTATAGATGCAAACAGCCAAAAAATTGTCATCTAGATTCTAGATGGAATAAATGTGGGACATGGTTTCACTACGTTTCACTTTCCGTAGTCATCTTCTCACTTGATCATCATCCAAAACAACCCCTGCTCCATGACAAATAAAACATCCTCAGCCCCAATGGTTTCAAAGCTCCTTTTCCCGATGTTGAAGTGCACTTTCTTCAGCACAAATATCCATTGAGACAAACCTCCCGGTTTTATCATCTAAGTAAATGAAAGTAACCCACCATTCTCTGCCACTAAAGTTTCAACATTGTTCAGTTATTCATGATCTTGACTCAGTACATCTCAGTACTGTATTTCAATCAAACATATATTAAACACCAATCAAACAGATCAAACACATAGCAAACACTCATTACAAATCCAACATATCCACCAGTCAACTGACCCGGGAGGATGGCACAACACACTAACACACTGGGAGGAAACACTGCTGTGCTGGGCATGCTGGGCATTGAGGACCCGCCAAGGGACTGCACGGCTTCGCGTAGGGAGGGGATGGTGAGATGGGCGTCCTCCATGGTCTCGCGCCAGCCCTGCATCTCCGACACTGACCAGCACAACGAGCCACGCGGACCGCCATCGCCTCGTCGTTTCGGATGCTATGGATGGATTCCAGATGGATTCCAGATGGATTCCATATGGATCATGGGTTGTAGATCTTGGGATGGATCTGACGATTGATGGGAAGGGAGTGTTTATATTTATATGGAGCTATAGTTCTAGGAGCGGGATGGATGCCAAGATGGATGATGGTCTAATACATCCCTGTTTGTCCACTCTGGGAGTTGAAACGTCAATATCAAAATCTGACCGGAAGATTTTTGGGGGTCAAAACTGGGTCACGTGGCTTGAGGTCACTCTTCATCTTCAAAAGGTTTACTGTGGGATTGAGCTCCTCAACAACATTGGGCTGCTGAGTCCTTGGAAAACATATCCACTAGGCCATCGTATCGTTTTTTCCCCCCCTATTTTGCTTATCTGCGACGGTTCTTCTACAGAAACCAAAATGTCCAGGTTTCATCCCAAGTTTCCTTGATTTCCCCGTTCCTTGGATCTCCGCATTCCAGTATCGGAATGGTAAGCCCTCCAATGTCCTCCAATTTTGGATGAATTCCTCCATTTTCACATTCAGTTTCGCCAGAACCCCCCGGTCTTGCTGAAGTCAGATTCGGCAAACAAAAAAATTACGTCACTTCGAATGATCCCCACCATGGCATTTATACATTTTCTTACTGGCAAATCTTCTGGCATTCTATCTGACATATCTTCTGGCATTCTATCTGGCATTCTTCTGGCAAATCTTCTGGCATATCTTCTCTGGCATTCTATCTGGCATATCTTCTGGCATTCTATTTGACATATCTTCTGGCATTCTATCTGGCATTCTATCTGGCATATCTTCTGGCATATATTCTGACATATCTTCTGGCATTCTATCTGGCATTCTATCTGGCATATCTTCTGGCATTCTATCTGGCATATCTTCTGGCATCTGGCATATCTGGGCATATCTTCTGGCATTCTATCTGGGTATATCTTCTGGCATTCTATCTGGCATATCTTCTGGCATTCTATCTGGTATATCTCTGGCATCTTATCTGGCATATCTTCTGACATTCTATCTGGCATATCTTCTGACATTCTGTCTGGCATATCTTCTGACATTCTTTCTGACATTCTTTCTGGCATATCTTCTGACATTCTATCTGACATCTTTTCTGACATTCTTCCGGTTGAGGTCCGGCAGTGCCCACTGCGATCTGGAAGTCGCGGTTGAGGTCCGGCAGTGCCCACTGCGATCTGGAAGTCGCGGTTGAGGTCCGGCAGTGCCCACTGCGATCTGGAAATCGCGGTTGAGGTCCGGCAGTGCCCACTGCGATCTGGAAGTCGCGGTTGAGGTCCGGCAGTGCCCACTGGGATCTGGAAGTCGCGGTTGAGGTCCGGCAGTGCCCACTGGGATCTGGCGCTCGCGGTGGAGGTCCGGCAGTGCCCACTGAGATCTGGCGCTCGCGGTGGAGGTCCGGCTGTGCCCACTGGGATCTGGACTGCGAGGAGGAGGAGGCGGAGGAGATGGAGGAGGAGGATGCGGAGGCGGAGGAGGAGGAGAACAGCTCTGATAAAATCTAACAACCCTCACCTGGCAGGTGGGGAAACATCCACCAAGAAAGATTTATAACTTAACCAAAAAGGTGCTGATAAACTCATCCATCAACATACGTGTTTCCACTTGTTTCCTGTTTGGTTTTTGTTTTACCAAATTCCGTCCCATCGTCTTTCTCCGTCACCAAGGCGCTGCAGTTCTTCTGCGTCACGGGGCTCCGGTGCTCCAACGTGTCGTCGTCGAAGCCCTCGTCATCGCCGCGAAGGCACACGCCGGCGCGGCCCCCCATGATGGCATCTATGGCATGATCCAATGGTAATGGTGCTGGAGCCGGCGATGGGACGGACACTTTGCAGATTTTGCAGTTCCGGGAGTGGACAATTTCAACATGTACTTGGAGAAACATGTAAATTCTATGACATCGACACATTGAATTTAAGTCTTCGGAAACTATTGCAATCGCCAGCAGAAGTGTCGCAAACAAGGACCGCTGCAAACATACAACTGCCATGCCGCCGCATAGAGTTTTGCAGTGATGGTGAAGAAACATCTCTCCAACAAATGCTCCAGAAGCTACCGGCATCTTGAAAATGAACAATCCAACAACCATTGAGCTATTGAACAATGACTAAATTTGACGATTGGAACATGATTTTGGAGGAACTAATTTCCAGTGACACTTTACTCCTTGACACTATTGCTGGATGCTCTTGTTTGAAATGCGCCCTGTTTGATGGAATAAACTGTTGATGGTGATCTATGATGAACGGAGATCGGATGGCCACCGGTGAATAATCGCGGGGAATTTAATGTGCGTCCTACGTTTGTGCCCTGTTCGTCATTACACTACACATGTAAGAAACGGAGCCTGCACGCCCCAAAACAACATTTCAATACATCGAATCGTTCAAAGAGAAAACAACCAAAAAGCACAACCATCCAACATGTCTTGCGAACATTGTTCCAACATCCAAAGATCTTCAAAAACCTTTTTGTTCTCTCCAATTGCTTTCTCTGCTTTTCCATGAGGAAATGATGCTGTTGAAGGGCCCCCGGTTGCGCCAGGGTGTGGACCAGCTGATGCCGCCATCGTAGTCGATCTGCTCGTTGAGCTCCACCATGCAACACGCCTTCTCCAATACGCCGCCCCAAAGTCCCAGGGAACCCACCAGGCCGCCGTAAACTCGTAGCACCAACTTGCGAGAAAAATCGGAATCACTGCAAACATCACCTGGTTTGGTGGATGGAATGGATGGAATGGATGGTATACCTGGTGCTGTTTCACTTTGGAAGCTTTCACCAGTTTCACCTGTCAGGTCTTTCTGGTCTTTCTCACCTGTAAACTGATCAAAGCCATGGCCACGGCCATCAGGATCCCATGCCACGTGCTCGTGCTGCACGTGCTGCAGGTGCTGCAAATGCTGTGTCAACGAGATCTCAGCATTGGACTTCACCACGATGCCCGGTGTCAGCAGTCGTGCCACCAGTTGGGATAGGGGAAGCCACAAAGAGCAGCGCCAGTCGTAAGCACTGCAACAAACCACCACGTTGTGTTCGCTCAGATTCCGGAAACATGGCCTGGACACTACAGGATACGTGTAATGCTGGGACTTTTGGAGTCGTTTCGGAGCTGATTGAGTGGAAAACGTCTCAGTATATTATCATTAAGATCTTTTAATTAGTGAGCATCCATGCCAGTTCGATCTTCAATCCCTGCTTCACCAAATCTTTCCAACCGGCATGTTAAACTTAAAACTGTTCCCCCAGGTCAAATAAATTTCGTACATCAATCCCCACATATCCCCACCCACATCAATATACATCAACCAGAGGTATCCCAGAGGTATCCCAGAGGTATCCCATCCCTCGCGCCTCCCGGGTTTGATGGTCACCGGCGGTGCCGTGGCACGTAAGACGTAGGCGCCCTGGACGTTGCTCCAGGTGCCCAGCTCCGTTTCGAAGGGGGCGAAGATCTTCACCGTTAGGGGGCCCTGAAAGCAGGCAGGTTTTGGGTGGAAAATTGCCGAGCAAATTCATTTTAACTAATTTTAACAATTCATTCTGCAAACAAAATGAAGATTCTAGAACCAGAGATTTCACCACTGAAAGGTGTGATGTCAAAATGATGTGAAGATATTTCCACTTATTTCAAGCAAACTGGTGAATTTCACAGGCCTGGTCTCCATCCTTCAGTTGGATCTCCTGGTTCCGCCGCACCACTGAGTTGGAAGGCAACAAACCACCCTTGGGGATGAACTGCACACGGTCGTCCCGGTGGAAACAAAGGACTTTCACATCCATATGGCAGGCATTTCCTCGGATGTTCTGATGCTTGGCTCAATACTTTGGGGTCAACATGGTCAACATGGTCAACAGTCTTCTTTGTTCAGGCACCGAAGCTTGGACATGCAACATCGTGCAACTAAACCAGATTCTTGAAAGGGTCTATGATCCTGACCAACATTGGCTCATCTTTCAGCTTGTTTCGGTTGAACCCAACCCAAAAAATGATAAATGGTCTTGTTAGGTGCTACTCCCTAACCCCTGCAACCCCATTGGATCCACAATGAACAAACGTTGAACACACATCTCCAAAAATGTTTCGAAAAACATACCACCACTGTAGAGTAACCGGGCCTCATCTCTCCTAAAATGATCACAGCCACTGGCACGGTTTAAACACCCTCAAAAAGTTGGTCCACTAGTAGCACTAGGCTATATTTCCATCTCATTGTGGTTAAACCTCTTGATTGATATGTTGCTGGTTAAAGCCTACGAGTTTGAAACCAGCCACGGTGTTCACTCTATCCCCATGTCTGTTGCTTTCCCAAAAATCTTGCGGGCAGGGTGACGGGCGAGTCAGGTCAGCTGAGTCGGACGGGACAGTGTGGGCGAATCAGAAAAGATAGATGGGTCAAGTCTCACAGTGACTGGTTGACAGAATTAGCACTGCGCCACAACAAGAGCAATCCGACGCGCACAAAGTGACAAGAGGGTTGCGCGAGCACATGTGCGAATTTCCCCAAGCGCTGTGCTGGCCACCACGAAAAATGAAAGTTGAACATGTGAAAAAACTATGCTTCACGTAGGCTTCACTACTTTTTCAGCCATAAAAAATGAGCCCGAGGCATCCGAAGCTTTGCGCCTGCCACGGAAAATCATCATCATGCACCAAGCTAAAATCAAGCCAGTTTCACATAGTTTCACAAAACGAGAGTTTCGAAGCTCTCAGGACATCGACCGAATTCTCTGCCTGCCACGAAAAAAGGCTCCTCAGTCCCACCCACAGGTGCCAACAGTTAGCAACGTGCACAATGTACAGCGCCTGCCACGCGCATGAAAAGTATCCGATGTCCTGCAACTGTCGCGCGCAGCCCTCCAAAAGCGACGATGAATTTCTTGCACCTGCCAGGAAAAACCTAGCTCCAAAAACGGGCATGGCATGCAGGCAAGAGCAATCTCTCAGCCATCATTTCGTGCGAGACTCCCTTCGCAAATGGAAGATCAAGGAGCTATTGCACTGTAAGGGTCAAGCGAACCTTTTCGATCAGCAACCTGACTTGTCTGAGCCTGGCTCTCCGTTTCCAGACTGCAGACTGGGTTAACTGACCGCCTGTCTGACTGGTGTTGCTCCCGGGTATCGAGCCCAGGACCGACAGCCTGAGGGACGGCGTCATAACCACCAGCCGATACCGAAATTAGCGGGACACGGATGCAACCAGCTTGAATCAACACCAAGCCTGAACAATTATATACCGTAAAAAACCCAAGTGTGCAGTCAAACCTCTAAGACGGAATAAGACAATTTCTGCCTAATAGTTACTTGCTTGACTCAGAATATTTTTTACTATTAGCTAATCTAGTTTTTTAAAACCTAATTTCCAGTTTTTTGGAAATAATCCAAACAGTGTGGATTTTGAGAAATGGTCTGTATATAGATCGATAGAAAGAACACCGGAAGGGAAGAAACATATCGACAGGCAGAAGGAGAGGTGGATAGACAGAAAGATTGGAAGAAGGAAAGGAAGATAGAAAGACAGAGAGATGAGAATGATCGGCAGATAGATAAATACATAGATAGATGGATAGATAGTCACATAGACAAACGCATGGGAAGAAAGAAGGATAGATAGACAGAAATAGAGACAGATAGGAAAAACAAAGTAGGTAAACAAACGCCGAACAATCAAAAGACCAAATTATCGATAGATAGACAGAACATACAGATAGGACAGGCATATCACAAGAAGTAAAGGTAGGAAGATAGATCGATAGATAGATAGGTAGAGGGACACGAGGTAAGTAGATAGAGATCATGGTAGGTAGTAAAGATAAAGAGAACGATAGAACGGTAAAACACTCACACACATAAATAAAAGTTCCAACTTGAAAGAAAGTAACATGGAATAAAGCGATAGAAAGAAACACAAACTTATTGAGTGGGTTTCCTTGCATTTTTTCCCTTGGGTTTGCGCGCCCTTTTTGAGTATAGAATGGAGGCGCGCTCGAACCCAACCATGGAAAAAAACAATAAAAACCAGACACTTGCTGAGTTAGTATCAGATAGATTGAGAAACGCATAGAACCATAGAAAAGATGGAACGATGCAACTATAAACATAAAGATTGAAAAATAGACAGAACGAACAACAAAAAGACAGAAAGATAGGACAGGAAGGACGCATAGATAAATAAGTATAGATAGGTAGATGGATAGACAAAAAGATCGACCAGAAACTATAGGTAGAAAGATCGATACAAAGAACGCAGTAATGATAGAAACATATTGACAGGTAGGAAAACATCAAATTACACCCCCGTAGGCCCCAAACAGTTTTTCCATATCTGCTGCAGCGCCTGCGTGCATGTCTGTGGCTATGCTAGCTCCTGATGTTGGCAATGTTTAGTCCATCTCACTTGAGAACAGCATGAAACAGAAGCAACGTTTTTTCATGTTGCTATCTGGGGTCTATGCTGGTGTAACTCCTGAGACAACAAGAAGATACAAAGGGAGAAAAGAACAGAGATAAGGACCAACCACAAATGAAATCGTGATGAAACAAGAGCAGGACACCGCCACTAGGGGAGACATATGAATGGGGAGACAAATGAAGTGGGAGACCAATTGTGAGAAAGAAATGATGGAAGACACGCACAAAGGCGAACAGGCGAAAGAATCAGACACCACCACTAAGGCAGACGGGACACATGAGTTGGGAGACAGATGAATCGGGAGACAGATGGTAAGAGAAAAATGATGGGAGCCAAGTGAAAGCAAAGAGAAGACATCCGGACACCACTAGCCAGAGCGGGAGACAAATAAAGGGAGACAAGTGAAGAGAGACATCTGGAGAGCCGGACACCACTAGCCGTCGAAAGCCAGACTGGGAGACAAGTAAAGAGAGACCAGTGAAGAGAGGCATCTGGAGACCCTGAAACCATTAGCCAGAGCGGGAGACACATGAAGGGAAACCCGGAAACAAATACCATCAAATACCGTAACAAGACAAATCCAGAGAGTCGGACACCAGCAACATCCGGAGAGCCGGACACAGTTAACCCAGCTTTGCAACCCAACAGCCCAACAGCAGTGATGGTTTCAAATTCAGGGCCAAGGATTGGAAGACCACATTTGCAAGACACACACGAGACAACTAGGTGACAAGTGGGAAACAACATCTGAAAGACAACTGGGAAACAATGGGGCGACGAATGGAAGACACTTGAGACAATTGGAAGGCCAATTCTGGGAGACAAATGGGAATTGTGGAAGGCAGTTGGAAGACAATTTTGAGACATCTGGGAGACAAGCCGAAGACAACTACTTGAAGGACAATTGGGAGACCACAGTACGACTGGGTGACAAGTGGAAGACAATTGGAAGACACCTGGATAACTGGAGAATTGGAAGTCGTGGGGGACAGACAAAAATTGGAGGAGTTGGAGACACAGTGGGAGTCACACATAGGGTGCTGGTGCTGCTGCTGGGGCATATATCAGCACCTACAGGTCCTGATTGTTTGTGATCCTAACAAAATGACATTTTCTGTGGCCCTAGGGGCTAAGGGGGTGCACTTCTTGAAGGAATCATGGATGTGTTTCGCTGAAAACTTGCATCCTGATCACAGAACATCTTCCAATCAATCTCATTTGACTGGAATGGGACTGCCTTTTGGCGAGTCTTGAAAGTTAATGAAAAAGGCGCGCGCTTTTTCAGTCTTCATATTCTTAGGAGGGACGGTGTGCGGAGAAAATGTGCTCAAACAATTCCCATTGCAGTATTGCAGTATTGCAGACCTTCGTGTTTTGAGACTCACCCACCCCCTCCCTAAATTGTATTTCTTGGAGCACTAGCTGCGGGAGTCCTTCCAGATTTCCATGTTTACATATGTTTACACAATACCATTGGAGTTGACGTCGTGACACATTTCTGAATCAAGATAAAAGATTTCCACGGTTCCACTTCTTGACTGGTGCCATAATTCCACCGGTCTGTTTTTCTGTCCGAAATCACTTTATGTCCTACTTGTGGGGTTGCTAACATGGTTGAACATGCGAGGGCCTGTAGCGCCGTTGCTGAACGCAACCAATTTATAGATACATACATACCTCAAAAATCTTCAAAATACATTCTCCCAAAGGACTGCCTGGCCTGAAAGTGACCTGACCAAGGCTTCAGACGTCCGTGGCTGGTAGAGCGGTGGAGTTAGCTTTTGCGCTTTGGGGGCGCAGTGCTGGCCTATGGCCTGTCGTCCCACTTCAAGTTTTCTCAATTTTCTCCCGGGTGAACGTTGGATCTCTTCTTTGCAGATTGCACTGTCTCAAGAGAAGTCCTTGTAGGACCGGTAAAGTTTCTTGGCAGGAAAGTTCCTTTTTCATTGCTAGATAGTGCTAGAGCTGCTAGAGGTGAAGCTGGCAGCTGTAAAATGATCCCAAGAATCACATGGAATGCATTGTTTGCAGGAACCAGGATGGACCTTGAGTGGATGTACTCTGGGTGGCAGCAGCTCTCAAATTATCTCTAGATTCGAAGAGCATGAAATCAACACAGCCTCTGCACGTGCTGCAGAAATCGCTCGCCTACGCGCCATGGCAACGAACTGGGCTGTCCAGCTTTGCGCCGCGGCTTGACAAGTTGCTTTTCTTGATTGTACTTGACCATCAATGCCTGAAACCCATGGAAAACTATGTGCGCATGAGTCACTGCTTGAACTCGCAGCAGAAACATGGTGGAATCCAATATTTCAAGGGCTGATGGGTGAGTCAGGTTGGCTGAGTCAGACTTGCAGAACCAACCGGAGAAACCTCTCTTGGGAGGTGGAGAACTTCCAGGTCATCGTTTTCTTGGATCAGATTTTCCACAAGATATACCCATCAATCAGATAAAGTAAACACAGATAAACACAGTATCCCAGGTGTAGCACATGATTATTCCCCAATTGCATGCGCTGAACTTTCAGTTGTGACCTCAGACATTGACACACTTTGATACATTTCACATCATTTCACGTTCAGTTTCGGATGGACGATGAGGACGATGAGGACGATGAGGATGAACTGCACGGCCGTGAGTCCGCTGAGTCCTTCAACAGGACGTAGCTCCGTGGGTCCTGCTTGGACAACATGCGGATCAGCATCACGGCCAGCACCGCCAAGAACATCACCACGAACACCGTGACCTGTCGATTTCTGTCGAGTTCTTGACGCATGGGAAAACATGACATCAACCTACATATGTCTACATCAGTGATCATTTTCGACCATTTTCTACCTCAAATTCATGGCACAACGTGGACAAACATGGGTATATATATATATATGTGTGTGTGGAACATCTGAAAAGATGTAAAACTTCCTATAGCTTTGACTTGGTTCAATTTTACTTCGTACTTGCAGGGGGTAGCGGCAGATCATTTGGGACCGCTACCAACGAAGACACCCATTTGATCTGGTGATACAGATTGGGACGCCAATCTGCGTACCTGCACTAATTTTTCATTTCCGTCAATGGCAACCGGCCAAGCCAAGAACCGGCACGTCGGTTTTCGGTTTTCAATTGCATCAGAACCTTCCTCTGAACTTCGATGTCAACAGGTTTCAATCCAATGTACGGTTTTCGCAATCTGATTTGCTGCTGACTTCGTCAGATGGAACAGTTGTTTTTTGCACGGACAAAGAAAGAATTCTTCTACAATGGTTTTCTCGCTAAGTCATCCAATTTTCCTGTCAGACTTTAGGGGACTGTTTGTGCACGCCTGATGCACTCCACAACAGTAATTCGATAAGAATTTTCTGAGCAAGTGTGTCATTCCTGCTGTATACGTCAAGTTGGCAGGAACCCTTCGGGGAAAGCCTTTCCAGGCTAACAATTGACAGTAAATCGATGTCTGAATTTACACTTTTGAATTAGTAATTCGTTTAAGTAAAGTGAACTGCTGGCCTTCTTTCATTGTTTCACTTGTCGATGTCGTTTGGTTGAACAACTGCCCGCTGTACCAGGGACTCACCCATTTCTTTGACCTGCTGCTGCATAGTTTGAAGCCACGACAACAATCTTGCTGTTTCTCAAGAGACCGGCTGCAGCCATTTTGACATGAACAGGTAACAGGACATGCTTTACAGGTGTGGTTACTTCCTTTTGGTTACTTTGGTGAGGTTGAAATTGTGCACGTAATTCAAGGGTTGAACACGTTAGCCGTCCAGAGGGTTGTGACTTGAAAGCCGAGGGCCTTTGAGCCTTATCACGAATACTGCATGAGTTGTGGATGCATCCAATGTTTGTGTTTTTACCATTAAAGTGATCGTCTGACAGTGCTGCCAGACCTGTTATTTTTGGCCATGTTTCCTGGTCGTTGGCCAAACTTTTCGGGAGAACATGTGGAACTGTGGCTGGTCATCGCCTGCCTTTACTTCACCTCAACCTGCAGCACAATTTGGTCAATTTTGTGGAGGTGATCTGATGAACCAACAGTCTCAAGCTCAGTCACAAGCTCAGACTCAAGCTCAGTTGGCTCAGTTACGGGACCAAAATGCATTACTGCATCAACAGTTGAATTCCCAAGCTCAGATCCATATTCAGCAACTCCAACAGCTTCTCCCATTCCATCAGACTTCCCAACAAACCGCATCTCATCAAAATCCTCCATCAGTGCCTGAGCCACCAACGGTGCCACCAGTCCAGACCCCTCCTGTTCCAACTCCATCTCAACCCGCTCCACAAAAGCCACATCCCACTTTCAATCCAGAAGAGATGATGCAACAGATGCGCAACACAGTGGAATCTGGCATGCAGGCGTTTATGGAAATGACCAAAGAAAGGTCTAAGAGCCCTCATGCAAGTGGAGTTCCACTCCCACCAGCGACTCCAGTCGCAGAATCTCCACCCATTGTCCCATTACCACCACTTCCACGGCTTCATCGCCGTTTTAGGTCACGGTCTCAACATATTCCGTCTCAGGTGGACAAACGTCCCATTTCGATCCCGAAAAGTCCAAGACGTCACAGACGGGATAGCCGTTCCCGCCAACATCGTCGACGTTCCCGCTCACGGGATGACTCCATGTCTCCAGGCCGTCCCCAGTCAGTCACTCTTCGTTCCAACTCTCCACGTCACCGGGAAGACCTACATCAACGTGAGGAACTTCGACGCCGTGATGAGTATACCTATCCATCCACTACACAGCAACCTCCATCTTGGCATGACCATCACTACGAACAACCTTCAATTTCCGACAAGTCGGACTACCAAGACTATTCCAACTACCCTGACTACGGCCCCACCAAAAAGTGGAAGCCTTGGCAGTCTTGGAAGGACCAGTCCAAGTCTCAATATTACACGCATCCCTCTGGATGGATCGATTACTCAAAGCCACATTACAAACATCAATCTTATGATGAACAGCCTTCCAAGTATCCTTCAAAGCCTCTGACGGCATACTCGCTGGAAAAGCACTCCCACAGCCAGGGCAATCATCCCAATCGCTCTGGTTCAGCTCAATCCCGAGCTTCCACTCTTCCACCTGGTCATATGGCCATCAACCTTCAAGAAGGTTCCAGAGAGGAATGGGCTCGCCAAGTCAAACATGCTCTCACCCATCCTGATCGGATGAGAGCGGCAAATGAACTTGACGCAAAGGAGCTTCCTCAACCATCCATGAGTATTGTCCAAGAGCACTTTGACGAAGCAATGGACGAGTTGACCAACGTGGACGTGAGAATTCCCACAGACATTGGCAGAAAGGCCATACATTTATTGTCAAGTACAGGCATCCTGACGGATTTTGACTTGTCCGCATGCTATGTTCGAGAACTTCCACAAACAGGCATGCTAGCCTTAGTCATGCCGCTGCCAGAAATGAGCCGATTTCAAATGCCCCCACCTTTTGGCGGCCAAACCCTCGTCACACATGCACTTGGCCATGGTATGACCCTCAGTACCGCACAGCTGATCCTTATGGAGGGCAAGATCCGACCAGCAAACTGGGCTTACCACAAAAATCCACAGAGATGCCAAATGCCCACCTTTGGAGCATTCTACATAGGCCGACAGATTGCCAATGCTGACAAGAACTTCCCATCATGGGCAGAACAGGAACTACTTGATTCCATGGAGAAGAAAGGCAAAGGCCAGCAAGAAATCACCATTGGGGCGATCTATAGAGGCTCAGTGGAACATCTTGCACTGCGCGGTGGAGGGAACGAGAAATGTCAGCTCAATGTAGCTAAAAAGGGAATCGTCACCACTCCGGAGAAGTACACGATTGCTCATAGCTACCACGTGGGGCTGAAGTTCATCGCGATCAAATGGTCAGACCTCAAGGATGATGACCAACTGGCACGGCGCCCTATTGAACTTAAGGACACAGATTCTGAGGACAATGTCAACTATCGCGCCAACGAGGAACGGCATGCAGCCAAACGTAAACGTTGAGCATTTCAGACAGCATTCTCTGATCGTGTATCATTAGTTTTCTTGTCCTAAACAGGATCATGACTTCTTTTCTGGGGATTTCCTGGACAAACGCATTGGCAAAATGCGACTGCTGACTTGCCCATCTGATTGCTTTTCACTCTTATGAACTTTTCTGGTCATTAGGAGCTTGCAGAGTTTGTTTAGTGACTTTGATGCACATACCAACATTGCTTGACAGGGCCTTGTACCTTAAATGTGATGTTCCATTTCATTTCATCCTGTCAATCGTTGTAACCACCGCAGCTTTTTTGATCCATCAGTAATCTTGAACTGTCCACGCCACCATGGCAGAGTCTGATCGATCCCGCTCACCAGCACCTGGTCGAAATCGAGCTGAACCTGAGCCTCCTCGCCCTCCTGTACGGCAAGCTCTTCCGTTCTTTCCTCGATGGTGTGGTCCTATGCAATCAGCGATTTGGCACTCTCAACAGATGCTGCGACCTCAGTCCAGACCTCAGTTCCAACCTCAGTTCAATATGCGCCAGTCGGGACCTTATATGATGACTCCACCAACAGATCCATCAGCTTCGATGCATACATGGCCAAATCCAAGACTTCCACCTACCAATCCAAGATTTCCACCTGCACCTCCTTCATCACCACCACCAACACTTGCATATCCACGTCAATCCAGCTCAGCCACTCCGCCATGTTCACCTACGATTCCATGTGCCCCGACTCAACTGGCTTCGCCCAGTACTCCATCAATCCCGTCGTCACAACCTCGCCACTCTGGCACTCCATTCTCCAAGTCACCAGGAGGACAGACTACCATTGATGAAAGTCGTACATATGGCTTCGATCTCAACCCTCACTGGCAAGACGATCAAGACCACTACGACAATCAGAAGATCAACGGCTTGACCTTCCCTCGAAGTATTCGACCTTCAGCTTTTACACAAAAGCTCGACATCGAGGGATGCGATCCACTGAAGCTTCCAGTAGCGGCCTTACTATATCAGCAGGCCAACAACTTCTGGCTTCGGAAGCTGGCTCATGGGCGTGAAGTGTACCTGTTTCCTACGGGGGACATCGCAGCGGTGGTATTCATGACGGAGCTATTGACTCAATTACGGAACAAAGGAGTGGATCTTGACAAGGTGTCATCTTGCAAAGCCAGACAGGATGGAAAGTTGCTGGACAAGACCAACAACACCAAGTACGCTGCTCAACAGATCGCAGACCTGATCCATACTTGGGTTCCTACCCGAATGGCAGACCCTGACACTCAACAGGAACTGACTCAACTTCGGAGTCAACTCGCCCAACTGCGACAACAACTCGGGGAAAACCCGGGCGAATCTTCATCTCCGGGCACTCCTGGCCCTCCAGCATCCAGTCCTGCTGCTACACCTATCCAAGCTGCTCTTCTTCGAAGCTCTCAACAACCAGCTCCTCCTGCACCTCCGGGCTTTGATCCTTCATCCCTTCTTGTCGGCACCACCAGTGTCAATCCGTGGCTCACTCAGAACATGCCACCCACCCTTGCAGTCAGAGCCTTCAACAAGTGGTTGAAAGAACTTGCTCTTTCCGAAGCAAAACGCAAAGTGCTCACCGACAATATTGCCAAGACGGAGGAATGGTGGGCCAAGCAACCAGCTGACGCCCTCGAGACTGTGGAACGCGTGGCAGTCATGATGGGAATCCCAGTCAATCTCATGGGCAAAAACTACGATGCGTTGAACCTCCTCCGGGCTATGACAGCAG